TCTTCTTTAACCCCCAGGACCCCAGGGACAGGTCTTTACTCCAACCTGGAGAAGTACAACGTCCCGTTTCCAGAATCCATCTTCAACATCGACTTCTTCTCCGTGGATCCGCTTCCTTTCTTCTCATTGGCCAAGACTCTGTATCCAGGCAACCACCGCCCAAACTACATCCACTACTTCATCAGGACCATCCACCAGAAAGGACTGCTGCTCAGGCTGTACACACAGAACATAGACGGGCTGGAGAAAGGTACCAGAGAGAGGGACCAGAGAGAGGGACCAGAGAGAGGGACCAGAGAGAGGGACCAGAGAGAGGGACCAGAGAGAGGGACCAGAGAGAGGGACCAGAGAGAGGGACCAGAGAGAGGAACCAGAGAGAGGGACCAGAGAGAGAGACCCCAGTGATGGTTCTGTCTTACAGTGTGTGGGATCCCGGAGGAGAAGTTGGTGGAGGCTCATGGTTCTTTCTCCACCGCATCGTGTCATCTTTGTTACACTCCATATCCAGCTCAACAGGCCAAGGTCTGTACAGGTGTAACACAGGTGTAAACACAGCTGTATATACACAGGTGAAACACAGATGTATACACAGGTGTAAACATGTCGGTTAGAGTTAAATAAGAACGAATAGAGCCTGAGTAAACTTTCCATTATCTAGAAAACACAAACATGAATAATTCAATTCCATTTATTTGTGTATCGCAGTTTTCTCAGAGGACTTTAAAAAAGCTGTTGATTCTCCAGCACAGATGAGAAAATCAAACACAAACGCCATGGTAAAAACACATTGAGTCGTTGTCCATTTTCTTCCACTTTATCCGTTGCCGGGTCGCAGAGGCAGACTTCCCTCCACACAACTCCCCCAGCTCATCTGGGGGAGTTGTTCCCAGCTGAGACACCTCCTGGTCTCCTCCTGGTCTGAACACTGTCTTATCTGCAGGACGCCATCATGAGTGACCGGATCCCCACCTGCTCCTTCTGCGGCGCCACCGTTAAACCCGACGTGGTGTTTTTTGGAGAAGATCTTCCACAGAAATATTTCTTAAACACTGAAGACTTCCCTAAAGCAGATCTGCTCCTGGTCATGGGCACCTCCCTCCAGGTGCCCCCCCCCCCCCCACCTATTTACACATTATTTACTTTTGTGGAATCAGCTCCTCACAGAGACACAGCCTCTATGTTCAAGGCTCTAAACAGTCAGTGACACTGTTTATGGAGCCCCCTGCAGGAGAGGTCTGGTAACCTTTATCTGTCATTATGACTCTCAAGTGTGTCAGTCGTGTTAGCGTTAGCATTAGCTTGTGGTGTAGAAGGACTTTTCTTACTTTTGTCCAAATGTATTTATTGTATTTTGTGGAAAATTACATCATGAAGGAAGCTTCAGGTGCCCCTGGAACCATGTGCGGTGGAACCATGGGCACTGGAACCCTGTGCGGTAGAACCATGTGCGGTGGGTTTAAAGCGACACAGATGTGACGGGTCTCTCTCGTGCTCAGATCGAGCCGTTCTCCAGCCTGGTCGACAGTGTGCGGCCCTCGGTGCCTCGGCTCCTGCTGAACCGTGAGGCTGTGGGTCCGTTTATGGTTTCTCTAAGGAGGAAGGACCATGTGGAGCTGGGAGACCTGGGACACCTGGTGCAGAGGTTCGCACAGCTGCTGGGATGGAACCAGGAGATACAGGAGCTGATGAGAGCTGAAGAGACGCCAGTAGGTACTCTCTTTCTGGTCTCTCTCTCTCTGGTCTCTAACAGTTTTTCTTCTGTCTAGAGCACCACGACCTTCAGCAGCAGACGAGAAGCCGAGCCTCAGAACACAAACCCAGAGAGTAATCTGCGGTAATAGATTACTCAGTACTTTCAGATTTGACTTTTTTATGTTTGTGTGAAACTTATTTAATAAAGATTTTTTAAATGAAACATTTTCTCTGAACATTTTATTTCAGTGTCGACGAAACGTTCTCAGGAACATTTAAGTGACATTGTTCTGAGTAAATTTACTTTAAGTATTTAATTAATGGAGTATTCGAGTATTTACAAAGGACTCTCAAACAGCGACGGCCAAAGTGTCTCAGTGAGAAACAAAATCATTCTATCGGACCTTTTGTAAACGTTCACTTTAGTCACAGGGACTGGCTTCCTGCTGGGACTCTGAGGAGCACAGGGACTGGCCTCAGACCATAATAACTCACATTTTACTTTCAACTGAAGTACTTTAACAGTTTGTTAAAACATGATTCTGTTGAAGTAAAATATTGTCTTTGGAATATACGGATAAGACCTATAATAACCGACCAATCAGCTGCAACCTGTCCCTGCACTGCTCCTGATTGGTTTTATGGTTTCTAGAGGCTTGCTAGGCAGTTACTAGGAGGTTGCTATGCCCACGGAGCCTCCTCAGTGGAGACGACAAAGTGACACACATTTGAATAAAAGATAATTACATTCTTTTCTGACAGAATAAACTTTGTCTATGAATGTCCACGTCTCAGAAGGGGACAGCGGCTCTAGTCCGAGTCCGAGTGAGAGTCCGGCTCATGCATGTGTAGCTCCTCCTCCAGAGGCCCCAGGCGCCCGTCAGACCTCACCACCATCGGCTGGATCACGTTATGTCTGAAAGAAACCAGGTCCTGTGATTGGTTTGAGAAAAGAGATTCATGCAACACACACACTACTCCACAAACACACACAGTCATACACACACACACACACACACTACTCCACAAACACACACAGTCATACACACACACTACTCCACAAACACACACACACACACACACTACTCCACAAACATACACACACAGGACTACAACACACACACAAACACACAGACACACACGCACGCACAAGTGAGAAGTCAGTCTCTTACCGCCCTCCCCACACTAATCCAATTATACCCGCTCCGGTTTCCTCCATGTGCTCCGGTTTCCCCATCATTAAAAACATGTACATATTTCTGGCAGCGCCCCCTGTAGGCGACTGCTCCTTTGTGATGGTGCTATATAAATAAACTTTACTTTCTAAATATTTCTTATGTAAAACCTAAAAAGTGTCATTAGCAAAGTCCTGGTGCAGTCGTTCTGAGGAAAGTTGTTGATTCAAACAGATCAGAAAATCAACAACAGAGACATGCATCAGGACCGTGGACTGTAAATAAGACTTAGAGAATTTACACAGTAGGCGTTAACAGCGCGTACGCGTTGAATGCGCGTAAGATTATTTGGCTGTATCTACACTGGCTGTGTGCGCAAGTCCACAGCTTCTGATGCTGTCCCTGTGTAGTCTATGGAGCAGTGTAGAGGACCGTACGGGCCAGAGGACTGATGTAGAGCAACACAAATCACATGCATGTGTTTGTCTTCATGGTCTCTGTTGCTGGTTTGGCCAGACGCCAGACTTTATGAAAGAAAAAAAACGATGTCCAGAATCACTGTAAAACCTGCCAATCCTCCTGCTAATGTTTAGATACAAGTGCTGTGTGTGTGTAGATGCGATCTAAAGCCAAGGGCCGCCAAAAAAAATCAGGTTTCACATGTGTTTTCAACATAGACTGTAAATATTAACGGACAGAGTCACGTCTATCTCCGCCGTTCTAACTAATGGGCCAAAAAATGTGCTCTACTGGAGCAATCCAAAATGGCCGCGAGTGGTCCCGCCCACAAGAAAATTGGGAAAAAACGCATCTGCGCATGAGTCAGCCGGCGCAGCTCCATTCATTTGAACGAGAGACTTCAAAAATTCACAGCAAGTAAACTAGAGTGGACCAGAACACCCCCCTCAGCATTGACACACATGTGGAACGGAGCTTTGGGCCAAGAGACAACTTTTGGTCCATCCTGTAAAGAAGTTTTTGAGAGGTCTGCCAATGCTATATGTTAACATTGGCTAATTCTTCTTCTGGGTCCACCCCCATTGGCCCGGGGTGGTATTGCAGCATGTCAGCGCACGTCATTTTGGCCACTTTTGAGCTGGGACCCTCCCCCACTGGTTTTCAATGAAAGACGTGTTACTGCGTGCACCAAATTAGAAATCCATCCTAAATCAGGCGCAGCCTCACGTCATACGTCCGTCATACGCGCGTATAAGACTAGTGGTGTAAATATCTCCATTTTTACATGTAAAAATGTTACGCGCGTATAATGCGTACGTGCTGTAACGCCTCCTGTGTAAATTAGCATCACTTTCACACACGTGTCAGCTGCACTAGACCCATGCATTTAACACATTCTAAAGTCCACAGCGACTAAACTAGACTGGTCCAAAAACATACACACCCCTCAGACAGCATCTGGGACCAAGAGGACCAAGAACCACTTTAGGACCAAGAGCCACTTTAGGACCAAGAGCCACTTTAGGACCAAGAGGACCAAGTTGGGATTATTCTTTGGGAATGGCTGGTTAAGTTTAGGCATGAATACGTAGTTGGTTATATTTACTTCCGTTTCCTTCCCGATTCCGTATATGATCTAGTGCTGACCTTATCTAGAGGAAAGATGATGCTATACATTAGCATTGGATAAGTCCGTGTCTGCCCCCACAGGCCCGGGGTGGTACTGCAGGATGTCAGCGCACGTCATTTTGGACATTTTTGAGCCGGGACTGATCAGGAGATTTTTATTATGAACGTATATATCTCATTCAGTCTAAATGTAACGACATAACTGAGGTTTGATGATCCCGTCATATGTGTTTATGTCGTTAATAGCCCCTCCCTCCCTCCCTCCTCCTCCCCCTCCCCCCACAGACACGAGGCCACGGTGCTTCAGAGCATGTGCTAATTGGAGCCTCGTTAACGTTAGCATTAGCACATTCCAGTGAGAGTCTGGAGGTCTCCTTAGAGCCTGTGGAGGCAGCTCCTTTTACAGCCGAAGAAAAGAGGAAGAGTGTGTTTTTGGGACAGGAATCCTGCCTCCTCTTCCTCGCGCCTCATTAAAGGTGGCACAAAGACCTGCCCTTCTCCTGCTGCTCGTTTGTGTCTCCGCAGAAGCCGAGGTCTTTGTTGAGCGTGTGGCGCTGTCCGCTCAGACCAAGGCACTGATTGATTCAACACAATGAGAAAAATCAAATCCACAGCATTATTGAAGAAGGACATGTTTTCAGTCCAATTAGGAGATGATTAAAGCAGGTGTAACGAAGACACGTAAAGCCACGGATTCTTGCTCTGATGAAGGCGTTGACGAGGAGAGAGCGGCAAAAAGGTCAACGCCGACCGGGAGGGGTCCGGGACTGGGAGGGGTCCACATGCTGCACGCCGTACGACGCACGCCGCGGCTGCTTAATACAGAGTAGCTTGAAATACTGCAAAAACAGAAGTGCTAGGGAAAAAACTGAGCACCTGGAGGAAACCTACGCTGACATAAGACCATGAGGAGACCGTCTTCTGACCTCTTCATCTCGTTGATGATCCTGAACAGTTTCTCCGCTTCGTGCTCCTTCTGCTCCTCCGTCATCTCCTCCATGGGGTTTGGACGTGGATCCTCCTCACAGCCACTCATGATGTCGAAGCTACACACAAACACACACACATGATGTTAGCAGAGCAGATAATACGCAGTGTTGAACGAAACATAACTTGATCTCTTTTAGTGCTTCACCATTCTCTCGTGACACATTCATTTATTAATCTTTCACACGATAGTCAAGTGATCCTTAAATCATAGTCACGTGAGATTGGGATGACGTCATTTGACGTTGACAACAAATAACAAAATGAGAGCACATCTCAACACATTAACAAACACACACACACACACATACAAATGAACACACAAACACATACAAATGAACACGCACATACACACAAACTCATACAGATGAAGGGCTGAGGATCAGGGTCAGGGTGAGGCTGAGGGTCAGGGTGAGGGTCAGGGTCAGGGTGAGGCTGAGACTGAAGGTGAGGGTCAGGGTGAGGGTGAGGGTGAGGCTGAGGCACTTACTTGGTGGCAGACTTGTACTCCTCAGTGTCTGAGTCCTCTCCCTCAGAGTACTGAGTCTCTCCCTGTCCTCCGACCAGCAGCCCCCGCGCCATCAGTAACCCCGCTGCATTCCCATACCCTGTGTACTTCAGCAGAGAGGCCACTGGCACCAGGAGAACATGCAAACACCCACAGGACGAGAGAGCACACCTTTAGTGAGAGACCAGAGAGAGAGACGACCAGAGAGAGAGACGACCAGAGAGACCAGAGAGAGACCAAAGAGAGACTAGAGAGATCAGAGCGAGACCAGAGAAAGAGACGACCAGAGGGAGAGACTAGAGAGAGACTAGAGAGAGATGACCAGAAAGAGACGACCAGAGACACCAGAGAGAGAGACCAGAGACACCAGAGGGAGAGACCAGAGAGAGAGACCAGCGAGAGAGAGACCAGAGAGAGACCAGAGAGCGAGAGACCAAAGACACCAGAGAGAGAGACCAGAGAGGGACGACCAGAGAGAGACGACCAGAGACACCAGAGAGAGCGACTAGAGAGAGACCAGAAAGAGAGACCAGAGACACCAGAGAGAGAGACCAGAGAGAGACCAACTGACCTTTCTCTTTGCAGAGAACAAAGAGAAACTCTGCCGCCGCATGCTTCACTCCCAGATCCACGTGTGTCATCAGTCGCACCAGTTTGTTCCTGAGGGAGCTCCCCACCTCCGGCTTCACCTTCAGGTTCTTCAGAGGAGGGAGGACCTGAGGAGACCAGAAGGAGACACATCAGAGGAGGGAGGACCTGAGGAGACCAGAAGGAGACACATCAGAGGAAGGAGGACCTGAGGAGACCAGAAGGAGACACATCAGAGGAGGGAGGGAGGGAGGACCTGAGGACCTGAGGAGACCAGAAGGAGACACATCAGAGGAGGGAGGACCTGAGGAGACCAGAAGGAGACACATCAGAGGAGGAGGAAGGACCTGAGGAGACTAGAAGGAGACACATCAGAGGAGGGAGGACCTGAGGAGACTAGAAGGAGAAACATCAGAGGAGGGAGGACCTGAGGAGACCAGAAGGAGACACATCAGAGGAGGAGGGAGGACCTGAGACCAGAAGGAGGCACATCAGAGGAGGAGGGAGGACCTGAGGAGACCAGAAGGAGACACATCAGAGGAGGGAGGACCTGAGGAGACCAGAAGGAGACACATCAGAGGAGGAGGGAGGACCTGAGACCAGAAGGAGACACATCAGAGGAGGGAGGACCTGAGGAGACCAGAAGGAGACACATCAGAGGAGGTAGGACCTGAGGAGACCAGAAGGAGACACATCAGAGGAGGAGGGAGGACCTGAGGAGACCAGAAGGAGACACATCAGAGGAGGGAGGACCTGAGGAGACCAGAAGGAGACACATCAGAGGAGGTAGGACCTGAGGAGACCAGAAGGAGACACATCAGAGGAGGGAGGACCTGAGGAGACCAGAGTGAGACAGAGAATCTCTTTCTGTTCGACTTTTAAACACATCATGTTCACATTTTCTTTCACTTTATCCGTTGCCGGGTCACAGAGGCAGCCGTCTGAGCAGAGACACCTCCCTCTCCACCTCCTGCACCCCTGCACCTCTGGGTCTCCTCCTGGTCTCCTCCTTCAGTGTCCTGGGTCTCCTCCTGGTCTCCTCCTTCAGTGTCCTGGGTCTCTTCCTGGTATCCTCCCGGTGGGACATGAACACCTCCCCAGGGAGAAGATCAGGAGGCCTCCCAAACAGAGGAGCCACGTTGAGGATCAGCGGCTCTACTCCGAGCTCCTCCACGTGACCCTATCTATAATCATCAGTTTACTCTCAGACCCTGAATACTGAATTTATCAACACAAATAAAAGACACACGTTTCATGCATCAGACCCCCCAGGGCTGACCCTCCTCAGACCCCCCAGGGTTTTGACAGGATGAGAATTGTACCTGTGTTATGACAGGATGAGAGTTGTACCTGTGTTATGACAGGATGAGAGTTGTACCTGTGTTATGACAGGATGAGAGTTGTACCTGTGTTATGACAGGATGAGAGTTGTACCTGTGTTATGACAGGATGAGAGTTGTACCTGTGCTTTAAGGAACCTGCGGATCTCTCTGTGATGTCGAGAAGCTTCCGTCAAAAGGCAGAGAACTGGAGTGAGGCCTTCTTTGTAGTTAGAGCTCTGAGAGTTAGAGATACTGTATTAGAGATATTAGAGCGCTGGGAGTTAGAGATATTAGAGTAAGTAAGAAAGTAAGTAAGTAATCTTTTTTATATACCACCTTTCACAGACCAGAGTCAAAGCGGTTTACAATTGTTATTTTTGGGCATTTGTCTTTCACTCCACACAGAGTTGGGAGCGGGGCCAGTACAGGAGGCGCATGCACCCGGGGGAAACCAGACACGAGGAGGAACATGCAAACTCCACTCAGAACGGCCCTGTTCCGACCGGGATTCGAACCCAGGACTTTCTTGCTGAGAGGCGAGAGTGCTATCCACTCAGCCACCGTGCCACCCAGTTAGAGATATTAGAGATAGAGATATTAGAGTTAGAAACAGAGTTTCCAAACTCATAGAGCACATGTCCTTTCAAGACTGTAAAAGTCTAAGTATAAAGTCTAAGTTTAGAGCTACATTAGACACAGTATGAATCGGTCTGCCCTGTCTGGTCACATTTTTCAATGCAGAGCAAGCATCTCCAAACCTTGGCTTGTTATTCTTTGGAAATAAGATTACGACCGAAAAAGGAGCACTTGGAGGAAACCTACACAGACACGGGGAGAACATGCAAACTCCACTCAAAAAGGCCTTGTTCCGACCAGGATTCTAACCCAGGACGCTAGCCACTCAGCCACTGTGCTTTGCATAACAAATGATCTACCGTGAGTTCTTCCTGGTCTCAGTCATATCTGGGTCACATGGTTCTGTACCAGAGGAAACACTGGAAATGGTCCAGTTCAAAGGGACTGGTGTTTGTGTTGCTAGATAAGAACTATATTTTAGCAGCTTAATAATATCAAGTTAATAATGTCAAGTTAAAAATGTCAAATTAATAACGTAAAGTTGATAATGCCAAGTTAATAATGTCGTCAAAATAATAATGTCAAGCTTTATTAAACCTTATCGATGCGTTTCTCCATGAACTCCAGAAGCAGCTCAACGGCCTCCAGGTTCTTCCCGCTGTAGTTCTGGGCCTCCAGGTTCTTCCCGCTGTAGTTCTGGGCCCCTCCTGTAGGCGGCAGCAGGACGTCCAGGCAGGACACGGGCAGGTTGTTCAGCAGGTTCACAGCATGACTGGAGAAAAGGTTATTGGTATAGCACAGTTAAATAAAGTGTGGAGTAAGTTTTGTAGACATTAAAGTTTATAAGAAGAATCCCTTTGATACAACTCAGAGAATATGAACTTCTCTGTGGCCTCAGGTCCAGAGGCTCCTCAGGTCCAGAGGCTCCTCAGGTCCAGAGGCTCCTCAGATCCAGAGGCTCCTCAGATCCAGAGGCTCCTCAGATCCAGAGGCTCCTCAGATCCAGAGGCTCCTCAGATCCAGAGGCTCCTCAGATCCAGAGGCTCCTCAGATCCAGAGGCTCCTCAGATCAGTGCTATAGGTGTGTACTGGTAAAGTGCTATAGTTGTGTACTGGTAAAGTGCTATAGTTGTGTAATGGTAAAGTGCTATAGTTGTGTACTGGTAAAGTGCTATAGTTGTGTACTGGTAAAGTGCTATAGTTGTGTACTGGTAAAGTGCTATAGTTGTGTACTGGTAAAGTGCTATAGTTGTGTAATGTAAAGTGCTATAGTTGTGTAATGGTAAAGGGCTATAGTTGTGTAATGGTAAAGTGCTATAGTTGTGTAATGGTAAAGTGCTATAGTTGTGTAATGGTAAAGTGCTATAGTTGTGTACTGGTAAAGTGCTATAGTTGTGTACTGGTAAAGTGCTATAGGTGTTTAATGGTAAAGTGCTATAGTTGTGTACTGGTAAAGTGCTATAGTTGTGTACTGGTAAAGTGCTATAGTTGTGTACTGGTAAAGTGCTATAGGTACTGGTAAAGTGCTATAGTTGTGTACTGGTAAAGTGCTATAGTTGTGTACTGGTAAAGTGCTATAGTTGTGTTTAATGGTAAAGTGCTATAGTTGTGTTTAATGGTAAAGTGCTATAGGTGTTTAATGGTAAAGTGCTATAGTTGTGTACTGGTAAAGTGCTATAGTTGTGTACTGGTAAAGTGCTATAGTTGTGTAATGGTAAAGTGCTCTAGTTGTGTAATGTAAAGTGCTCTAGTTGTGTAATGTAAAGTGCTCTAGTTGTGTAATGTAAAGGGCTATAGTTGTGTAATGGTAAAGTGCAATAGGTACTGGTAAAGTGCTATAGTTGTGTAATGGTAAAGTGCTATAGGTACTGGTAAAGTGCTATAGTTGTGTAATGGTAAAGTGCAATAGGTACTGGTAAAGTGCTATAGTTGTGTAATGGTAAAGTGCAATAGGTACTGGTAAAGGGCTATAGTTGTGTAATGGTAAAGTGCAATAGGTACTGGTAAAGTGCTATAGTTGTGTAATGGTAAAGTGCAATAGGTACTGGTAAAGTGCTATAGTTGTGTAATGGTAAAGTGCTATAGTTGTGTAATGGTAAAGTGCTATAGGTACTGGTAAAGGGCTATAGATGTGTAATGGTAAAGTGCAATAGGTACTGGTAAAGGGCTATAGTTGTGTAATGGTAAAGTGCTATAGGTACTGGTAAAGTGCTATAGTTGTGTAATGGTAAAGTGCTATAGGTACTGGTAAAGTGAAAGCTACAGCAGCCGCCAACCTGGCGTCATTATTCAGATTTACTTGCAGTAAAACCACATTAGGAACATGTCCGCAGTGGGCAACAGACTAGTACAGGGGCCATGTAGCCACAGATGCCCTGGGGCAGACTGGTCCACATACCTGTGCACCTCCTCAGTCTTCTCCATGGTTTCAGTTCTCAACATCAACAGGTGACGAAGAATCCCCACAATAACACGGAACTGATGCTCGTCCTCCTGAGAACACACACATTTACAGCCAGAGAACATAAAGCAGCGGTATATAGCAGCTGTATATGGCAGCTGTATATAGCAGCTGTATATAGAAAACTGTATATAGCAACTGTATATTGCAGGAGTATATAGCAGCTGTATATAGCAACTGTATATTGCAGGAGTATATAGCAGCTGTGTATAGCAGCTTCTAGATACAACAGACTCCTTACACACACTCTACAGGTATAGGGCTGGAAAGTCTCGTCCCAGAAGCACTTCCGGTTCATTGCTCGGATACAAACAAACCGTCAGCTGTTCGAAGAGGCGGTTTAAGTGAATGGTGCAAAATGCTCTGCTTTGTTTTCGGCTGTTATCGTCAAAGTTTACATGAAGCATGCTCATTTTTTAGGTTTCCCAAAGACCAACTGAAGCTGTGTAAAAATCTATGCAGTTGTGATAAAACATTTTGTCTAATTTTACAGATGGTTAACTTGAATATGTATTCAAGCTAACTTGTAGCTAATGCTAACCTGTAGTGCGCTGCCAGCCTTTCATTGTGGCTTGTATTTTAAGATAAGATTAACTTTATTGTTGTCACACAGGATAAATGTATTTATTTATTTATTTGAGAGATAAAGGAGGAACATATACATATTAAATAAAATTTTACAAATGTTCAAATATAACAGAAAACGGACAATCATAATATTAGTATTAAATGAATAGGTAGCCCAACTACATCATGTTATTTTTGACAGCACAGCAAAAAGAAAAAAGGCCCAATGTGAAGCTGCAATGAATGTGAAGTGGAGATGGAGCTAATGTACAGATAGAAAAATGATCATTCATAAACATTGGCTCATAACCAACGCAGCAAAGATAGCTGTAAGGGACATCAATGTATTTGCAAGTGGATGAAATAAACAATAAGTTTGAACACGGCCCTGCACCTTTCTCATAGACTTCAGGACATGGTCAGTTCACAGCTAATTCCGACAGCTCACTCAGTTTTTCTGTCCCAGTGACAGGAAAGTCCTTTAAGGAGGAAGAAGTCGGCGATCTCAGCACCATACATGTGGCACGTGTGGTTTGTTTGTATCCGCGGGTGGAAATCTCGCAAAATCTCGCACTTCCGCTTTCCAGCCCTATAATGACTTATTGTGGACCTTACACACACACTACAGGTATAATGACTAACTGTGGTCCTTCCACACACTCTACAGGTATAATGACTAACTGTGGTCCTTCCACACACTCTACAGGTATAATAACTAACTGTGGTCCTTCCACACACTCTACAGGTATAATGACTTACTGTGGTCCTTCCAGTTCAATCCTGCTCCTTCGTACATCACAAGGACAGAATATATATCAACTTTATACTGTACAGGAACTTCAACTAAACCTTAGGATTTTATTTTATCTTATTGATACTAATTGAAATGTAATATTATACCTATTTGAGATTTAAGTTATTTGAAAAAGGAAGGTAAAAAGTTAAGTAGAATAGAGTAGCGTAGAGTAGAGTAGAGCACAGTAGAGTAGAGTACAGTAGAGTAGAGTACAGTAGAGTAGAGTAGAGCAGAGTACAGTAGAGTAAAGTGGAGTAGAGTAGAGCAGAGTACAGTTGAGCAGAGTAAAGTAAAGTGGAGTAGAGTAGGATAGAGTAGAGCAGAGCAGAGCACAGTAGAATAGAGTGGAGTAGAGTAGAGTAGAGTAGAGCACAGTAGAGAAGAGTAGAGTAGAGCACAGTAGAGAAGAGTAGAGTAGAGCACAGTAGAGCAGAGTAGAGTAGAGCACAGTAGAGAAGAGTAGAGTAGAGCACAGTAGAAAAGAGTAGAGTAGAGCACAGTAGAGAAGAGTAGAGTCGAGCAGAGCAGAGTAGAGTAGAGTAGAGCACAGTAGAGTAGAGCAGAGTAGAGCACAGTAGAGTAAACGAGAGTAGAGTATAGAATAGAGCACAGAAGAGCAGAGCAGAGTAGAGTAGAGTAGAGTACAGCACAGCACAGTAGAGTAGAGTAGAGCACAGTAGAGTAGAGTAGTGCACAGTAGAGTAGAGAAGAGTACAGTAGAGCACAGTAGAGTAAACGAGAGTAGAGTATAGAGTAGAGCACAGAAGAGCAGAGCAGAGTAGAGTAGAGTAGAGTACAGCACAGCACAGTAGAGTAGAGTAGAGCACAGTAGAGTAGAGTAGTGCACAGTAGAGTAGAGAAGAGTACAGTAGAGCACAGTAGAGTCCAGTAGAGTCACCTCTGTGTCTGGGTGGTTGAGTGTGAGGTTGAACAGAGCTTTGAGAGCCTCCATGACCCTGTCGTTGGTCTGGGCTGGGATAGGAGCAGCCTCAGGGTCCACGGGCTCCGCCTCGTACGGACCCATCCATCGAACCTCCAGCGTCTGCTCCAGCATCGTGGTCAGCAGCGGCACCGCCCGCCGCTCTCTGAGGGTCGCTCTCACGTCCGGCCTCAGTGCAGACAGAAGGAACAGCAGGCGCAGAGAGAACAGTCCCACCTCATGGCTCCAGCTGTGGGAGCTCTGCAGAGACCCACACAGAGCAGGACCCAGCTGCAGCTCCACACTCACCTGCTGCGCCGCCGGACTGTTGAACACGACATTACACAAGCATTTCAGGGCCTCCACCACCACCCGCTGCTCCTCCTCCACGGACACACTGTCCTGAAGACCCTTGTGTTTGTGTAAGCCGTCCTCTCCCGTGCTGAGCCGGGCCATAGCGGTCAGCACCAGCAGCCCCTCTCTGCTGGACACTGGGCTCAGGACACCCTTGTCTCTGGACATGATGCGGAGAGTCTCCAGACATGTCCTCTGACAGCTGAAGGCCACCCCTCGGCTCAGGACGTCCAACGTACTCTGACACAGTTTCTGCAGAAGGAAATGTCCCCACAGTGAGACAAATACAGGACCTCTCATCTCAAAACAACTGAAAAGTGCGCAGCAAAGCAAAAAACAATCACACAAGACTTTAAAACAGACACAAATATCACAGTATAGTATAAAGAGAAGACACAATCCTTCAGTTGCAGCGAAACAGAACTGTTTCTGTTAAAGTGCACATTTACATTTTATTTAACATTTAGTAACAGAAGTCTAACCTACAGGAGGTGTTTTTAGAGCTGTTGATAACACTAGCTGAGGACAGAGGTTATAGACAACAATACCTGAGGACAGTGGTTATAGACAACACTACCTGAGGACAGAGGTTATAGACAACACTACCTGAGGACAGTGGTTATAGACAACACTACCTGAGGACAGAGGTTATAGACAACACTACCTGAGGACAGTGGTTATAGACAACACTACCTGAGGACAGAGTTATAGACAACACTACCTGAGGACAGTGGTTATAGACAACACTACCTGAGGACAGTGGTTATAGACAACACTACCTGAGGACAGTGGTTATAGACAACACTACCTGAGGACAGTGGTTATAGACAACACTACCTGAGGACAGTGGTTATAGACAACACTACCTGAGGACAGTGGTTATAGACAACACTACCTGAGGACAGAGGTTATAGACAACACTACCTGAGGACAGAGGTTATAGACAACAATACCTGAGGACAGAGGTTATAGACAACAATACCTGAGGACAGTGGTTATAGACAACACTACCTGAGGACAGAGTTATAGACAACACTACCTGAGGACAGAGTTATAGACAACACTACCTGAGGACAGAGTTATAGACAACACTACCTGAGGACAGAGTTATAGACAACACTACCTGAGGACAGAGTTATAGACAACACTACCTGAGGACAGAGTTATAGACAACACTACCTGAGGACAGAGTTATAGACAACACTACCTGAGGACAGTGGTTATAGACAACACCAGCTGAGGACAGTGGTTATAGACAACACTACCTGAGGACAGAGTTATAGACAACACTACCTGAGGACAGAGGTTATAGACAACAATACCTGAGGACAGTGGTTATAGACAACACTACCTGAGGACAGAGTTATAGACAACACTACCTGAGGACAGAGTTATAGACAACACTACCTGAGGACAGTGGTTATAGACAACACTACCTGAGGACAGAGTTATAGACAACACTACCTGAGGACAGAGTTATAGACAACACTACCTGAGGACAGTGGTTATAGACAACACCAGCTGAGGACAGTGGTTATAGACAACACTACCTGAGGACAGTGGTTATAGACAACAATACCTGAGGACAGTGGTTATAGACAACACTACCTGAGGACAGTGGTTATAGACAACACTACCTGAGGACAGAGGTTATAGACAACAATACCTGAGGACAGAGTTATAGACAACACTACCTGAGGACAGAGGTTATAGACAACAATACCTGAGGACAGTGGTTATAGACAACACTACCTGAGGACAGAGTTATAGACAACACTACCTGAGGACAGAGTTATAGACAACACTACCTGAGGACAGAGTTATAGACAACACTACCTGAGGACAGAGTTATAGACAACACTACCTGAGGACAGTGGTTATAGACACACACTACCTGAGGACAGTGGTTATAGACAACACTACCTGAGGACAGTGGTTATAGACAACACTACCTGAGGACAGTGGTTATAGACAACACTACCTGAGGACAGTGGTTATAGACAACACTACCTGAGGACAGTGGTTATAGACAACACTACCTGAGGACAGTGGTTATAGACAACACCAGCTGAGGACAGAGGTTATAGACAACACCAGCTGAGGACAGTTATAGACAGGGTTAGGGTTAGGACCGGAAGTTTAGCCCAGCTGCCCATTAGCCCCCCACAACTGCCCATTTGTAAGGAAGCCGTTTGCGGACACTTACACTGATATGAACTATACTAATGTTACTAAAGTAATGGACAAAGAGGCTACGAGAGAATAAGGCACTTACAATTCGCAGGGGTTCTTCTTCCTGGTCAAACGCGAAGGTGCGGCTGTTCTGTGAGAGAAACATCTCCATATATTATGTCACAGAATATAAATATTCATATGTAAACACACGAAGCATGAACTAAATCCTTAACGTCATTACGGCTGTATACAGAGCAGCTTGATGCTAAGACACTGATAGAAGCCTGGCTGTGGTTTGTAGAACTAAAATGTATCTGACACTAGACGGTTTCATTTAAGACGAAGGGACTAGCATGCTATGCTAACGTTAGCTTCCCGGTTTATTATGGGGACAGAGGATTTTCACTTACTTCTCTGTTGTAGCGCTGCAGCAGTTGCTCAATCTCTTCATCATTTCCTCCTTCAAGCTCAGACAACATTTGAGTCATATCCATTGTGAATGAGTTCATAAAAGAGGCATAAATACAGATGTTGTCTTGACGCTAGCTCCTGTGCTAACCCTGTGCTGTCAGTGCTGTCAGCTGAGGCTGCTGCAGCGCCTCCTGTGTGTGAACCACAGACTGTCACAGCCAGGAAAACACTGAACCAGGTTCATAACAGATGTTTATAACAAGTGTTTATAACATAACGTGTGTGTAGGTCTGTGGAACAGCCCTCTGCATTAAAGACATACAAGTGCTTTTTGCCAAAGTCATTGTCCACACAGCACTTTAATAATATACGGTTTACAACAGAGTATTGTGGGTAAAAGACTGTTTGGACTGAACTCCTATGAATGCACGGTATTCTGCGGATTCACTGCCTTTCATGGTTTTTTTGTTGTGTATTGTGCTATACAATTAAACTGGTCTCGCCTGTAAGAACCTAATGCCTCAAACATAACACATGTGAAGACACATGTCCTTGTGTGGATACTGTGGGTTCATGGCCCCAGTCTTTAATGTTTGAAATGTTTATGACTCAGAAACTGGGAAATCTTTGCTCAGTTTATCCATTGGATACTTCTAAGAACACAGATATGGAGGGACTGTGTCTCAGCTGGGAACGCCTCTAGATTCCCCCAGATGAGCTGGAGGAGGTGTGTGTCTCTGCTCAGACTGCTGCCCCTGCGACCCGGCAATGGATAAAGTGGAAGAGAATGGATGGATGGACGTGTGCTGGCAACTAACGAATGTAGTTTCCCCCAAATCAAAAAGTTATCGTGTGCTGATCATGAGTGAAGAGAAGAACATTGGGGAAAGTTTCCAAATTTATTGTAATAAATAAAATTAGGACAAATGTGTAAATGTTTTTATCTTTTAAGAAAACACATGAAGCAGATGAACATCAGTTTAACACTTGATAAAGACAGCGTACAGAGATTTATTTACAAAAGTTACAAGATTTCTTCATACTGTACATATGTATAATCTTTTGTACATACCCACAGGGCAATAGGTCCTCGGACTAGAATCATACATGAGACTAGGTTAATGCATCTGCCATAAAAACATGTTACACAAAATACATACTATATATCTTTATATTTTTATATATTGTCACAGAACAACAGTTGATCATAGTCCCACAGTGATTTCACAGACCCAGGATAAGCTCAGTGATGACACAGACCCAGGATCAGCTCATATGACAGACCCAGGATCAGCTCAGCGATGACAGACCCAGGATCAGCTCAGAAAGGCAGAGTCTGATGCAGACAGTTTATATTATTAAACTCAAAGGCACGTCACGGCAGCAGCACATGATTCTGCTGTAGGTTTGGATCCTCTTCATCAGAACACGTTGGGACACGTCGGCCACGTCAGGACACACCGGGACACGTCGGGGCACGTCGGGACACGTCGGGGCACGTCGGGACACGTCGGGACACGTCGGGACACGTCGGGACACGTCGGGGCACGTCGGGACACGTCGGGGCAGGTCGGGAGAGGTCGGGACACGTCAGATCTCGGTCCTACTTGGCCCAGCCCGTCGTGGCCTCTCCGTTGATGTAGGCAAACCCAGGGAAGTGTTGTGAATGTTCGTACTCCGTGTTCCTGCGGCCTCCTATGGGGGAGTACATATCCCCGGAGGAGGTGTAGCGGGAGGAGTGCAGGGGGGGGCTGGTGTAGCAGCCGTTCACCGGAGACACGTCTGTCCAGCGGGGGGCGCCAGGGGCCGTGTGCAGCCGCGGCGTGCTCATCACACAGGGCTCCATCCGCGACACCTGCCCATTCAGCTGGTACTGAAACACAGGACACAGGGACTTCAGCCACAGCTGCTACATTAGAATAATCCTTTTGTTCATATTTGATGAGATTTGAGAGTCTGTGGCACAAAGGCCACTGACCCTGAAGAAGCCATTTCCTCAAAGGAAATTACGTCTCTTCGATTACATGAAGGTTCAAACGCTCTAAAGCTACAAATAGTTAAATTCTTAATAGGAACATTTACAGATGGTGTCAACTGCGACCGCTTTAGCTACATTCACCACTTCCTCCGCAGACAAAGCCCAGTCTCTGTGCCCACTTTAGCACCGAGTCAGACGAGGAAAGAGGAGCTCAATATAAACACAGCAGATTCTTTATCACGACTCACGCTACGGACCAGAGCATCTATATATATATATATATATATATATATATATATAGAAAACATGTTTCAGATTTAGACAGCTACAATCTAGAACCGTCTTCTTGAAAATGTGAGACAGACTTCTTCTCTGACAATGTTCAAATCCAGGTTAAAAACATTCTGTTTCTGCAGCAACTGAAAGATTTTCTATTTACTCTTTTTAATGTGATTATTTCTGGTTTATAAGATGAACCTTTATTAGTCTCACAGTGGAGAAATGTCAGTGTCATTGTTGCGCACATTACTGCAGAGAAAGGAAATAAGAGCACTCAGATTGCACACATCATCACACACAGTCTATTATTTAAGATAAGACACAATAAATTTAAGATAAGAATAAAATAAAATAAAATAAACTCTGGGCTATAATTGCACTTGGTTCAAAAGTATTTACAGATGTCTATGTACTTTAGCAGCGGAGAATATGGGAATTATAATGTGATTCTAATGTGAATATGTGATTCTAATGTTTCTTTGAGCCCTTTGTGTGTGAACTGTGCTATACAAATAAACTATAGACTGACCTGTGCAGAGGAGCGGTGGTACGCAGAGTAGTGCAGAGGAGCAGAGAGCGACTCAGGTCCCAGACTCTGGAACTGGCTCTGGATCGAAGGAGGACCACAGTATCCTCCATAGTTATAACTGCCAGTGTACCTACACACACACATGCAGACACACAGACACACACAGAGAGACACACACACACACACAGAGACACACACACACACAATAATTTATGTATCATTATATTACATATAATGTCTATACATTGGGGCTGAATGAAAAAACAGCAACCTAAGAAATGTTTCCCGTTTGGTGTTTACAGGTGAAACTCCGAAGTTAGAAAATTCAGTATATATATATATATATATATATATATATATATATATATATATATATATATATTTACATATGTATATATAACACTTTACACTGTAGTTCCTCAGTCCAGGAGCAGACGACACGGATGGAGAGCTATCAAGATTGTCCTGGGATTTTTAAATGTGTTTGATTAAACAATGATTCATTAAAAGGTCTCCTATCACAGTATTGACCTGGCCCTACCCAGCACAGCTTCAAAGGTCTGACAGGATCTGGCTTTGACCTGCAGGTGTCTACAGCCTCAGCCCTGAGACAGTCCAGGGGGCCGAAGGAGGAGACATCTGTTTACATTTATGAGCGGATGGACAGCTTTGTAAAGATAAACTGTTGTGATTAAGAGCAATTTTTCAATGGAACTACAGGAATAAAAACAGTTACAACATTCAGAGTTTCAGAGGTTCACCTGTAGTTTTGACCTCAGGCTTTGGTTTGGATGCTATTTACAGTCAATGGTTCTTACCCATGCTCCTCTCTGTAAACCGGCAGGCGGTGGGCTGAGGCGGGGGCTGAGGCTGAGGTGGGGGCCGGGTTCCTCATGCAGTGGAGCTGAGGAGCCTCAGCAGCGGAGCCACCTGCAGCAGTCACGGTGTATGTAAGGGACCAGGTATATGACTGAACCGCGCCTGGTAGACACATATGCAGACACATATGCAGACACATATGCACACACATATGCACACACATATGCACACACATATGCAGACAGTTCTGTAGACAGTTCTGTAGACAGTTCTGTGTGAAATGAGCAGGAGCTGGAGTACCACAGGGGTCAATCCTGGGACCTCTAGTGTTCAGTCTCTACATGCTGCCGTTAGGTCAGTTAATACTCAGATCTATGACTCACTGAGACAGGAGGACATGGACAGAGGACTCACTGAAACAGGAGGACATGGACCAGAGGACTCACTGAGACAGGAGGACATGGACCATGTGACTCACTGAGACAAGAGGACATGGACAGGACTCACTGAGACAGGAGGACATGGACCAGAGGACTCACTGAGACAGGAGGACATGGACCAGAGGACTCACTGAGACAGGAGGACATGGACCAGATGACTCACTGAGACAAGAGGACATGGACAGGACTCACTGAGACAAGAGGACATGGACCAGAGGACTCACTGAGACAGGAGGACATGGACAGGACTCACTGAGACAGGAGGACATGGACCAGAGGACTCACTGAGACAGGAGGACATGGACAGGACTCACTGAGACAGGAGGACATGGACAGAGGACTCACTGAGACAGGAGGACATGGACAGGACTCACTGAGACAGGAGGACATGGACCAGAGGACTCACTGAGACAGGAGGACATGGACAGAGGACTCACTGAGACAGGAGGACATGGACAGGACTCACTGAGACAGGAGGACATGGACAGAGGACTCACTGAGACAGGGAGGACATGGACAGAGGACTCACTCCTTCAGCTAAACTCAGAGAAAATTGAAATGATTGTCTTTGGGTCCAGAAACAAAACAGGTCCCCTCAGTCTCTCTCGGCCTAAAACCTTCACATCAGGTCAGTCACTTCAACAGCCACAAAATCCTAACTCTCCTGCTCAGGTCTCTGCAAACTGTGAAACATCTGCAGCTCGAGTCCTGACTGTTCTAGTCAGGAAGTCCTCTCACATTAGTCCTGGTCTCAGGTCTCTTTCCTGAAGTCCTCTCACATTAGTCCTGGTCTCAGGTCTCTGTCCTGAAGTCCTCTCACATTAGTCCTGGTCTCAGGTCTCTGTCCTAAAGTCCTCTCACATTAGTCCTGGTCTCAGGTGTCTGTTCTGAAGTCTTCTCACATTAGTCCTGGTCTCAGGTCTCTGTCCTGAAGTCCTCTCACATTAGTCCTGGTCTCAGGTCTCTGTCCTAAAGTCCTCTCACATTAGTCCTGGTCTCAGGTCTCTGTCCTGAAGTCCTCTCACATTAGTCCTGGTCTCAGGTCTCTGTCCTGAAATCTTCTCACATTAGTCCTGGTCTCAGGTCTCTGTCCTGAAGTCCTCTCACATTAGTCCTGGTCTCTGTCCTGAAGTCTTCTCACATTAGTCCTGGTCTCAGGTCTCTTTCCTGAAGTCCTCTCACATTAGTCCTGGACTCAGGTCTCTTTCCTGAAGTCCTCTCACATTAGTCCTGGACTCAGGTCTCTGTCCTGAAGTCCTCTCACAATAGTCCTGGTCTCAGGTCTCTTTCCTGAAGTCCTCTCACATTAGTCCTGGTCTCAGGTCTCTTTCCTGAAGTCCTCTCACATTAGTCCTGGTCTCAGGTCTCTGTCCTGAAGTCCTCTCACATTAGTCCTGGACTCAGGTCTCTGTTCTGAAGTCCTCTCACATTAGTCCTGGACTCAGGTCTCTGTCCTGAAGTCCTCTCACATTAGTCCTGGTCTCAGGTCTCTGTCCTGAAGTCCTCTCACATTAGTCCTGGACTCAGGTCTCTGTTTTGAAGTCCTCTCACATTAGTCCTGGACTCAGGCCTCTTTCCTGAAGTCCTCTCACATTAGTCCTGGTCTCAGGTCTCTGTCCTGAAGTCCTCTCACATTAGTCCTGGACTCAGGTCTCTGTTCTGAAGTCCTCTCACATTAGTCCTGGACTCAGGTCTCTGTCCTGAAGTCCTCTCACATTAGTCCTGGTCTCTGTCCTGAAGTCTTCTCACATTAGTCCTGGTCTCAGGTCTCTTTCCTGAAGTCCTCTCACATTAGTCCTGGACTCAGGTCTCTGTCCTGAAGTCCTCTCACAATAGTCCTGGTCTCAGGTCTCTTTCCTGAAGTCCTCTCACATTAGTCCTGGTCTCAGGTCTCTTTCCTGAAGTCCTCTCACATTAGTCCTGGTCTCAGGTCTCTGTCCTGAAGTCCTCTCACATTAGTCCTGGACTCAGGTCTCTGTTCTGAAGTCCTCTCACATTAGTCCTGGACTCAGGTCTCTGTCCTGAAGTCCTCTCACATTAGTCCTGGTCTCAGGTCTCTGTCCTGAAGTCCTCTCACATTAGTCCTGGACTCAGGTCTCTGTTTTGAAGTCCTCTCACATTAGTCCTGGACTCAGGTCTCTGTTTTGAAGTCCTCTCACATTAGTCCTGGTCTCAGGTCTCTTTCCTGAAGTCCTCTCACATTAGTCCTGGTCTCAGGTCTCTGTCCTGAAGTCCTCTCACATTAGTCCTGGACTCAGGTCTCTGTTCTGAAGTCCTCTCACATTAGTCCTGGACTCAGGTCTCTGTCCTGAAGTCCTCTCACATTAGTCCTGGTCTCAGGTCTCTGTCCTGAAGTCCTCTCACATTAGTCCTGGACTCAGGTCTCTGTTTTGAAGTCCTCTCACATTAGTCCTGGACTCAGGCCTCTGTTCTGAAGTCCTCTCACATTAGTCCTGGACTCAGGTCTCTGTCCTGAAGTCCTCTCACATTAGTCCTGGTCTCTGTCCTGAAGTCTTCTCACATTAGTCCTGGTCTCAGGTCTCTTTCCTGAAGTCCTCTCACATTAGTCCTGGTCTCAGGTCTCTGTCCTGAAGTCCTCTCACAATAGTCCTGGTCTCAGGTCTCTTTCCTGAAGTCCTCTCACATTAGTCCTGGTCTCAGGTCTCTTTCCTGAAGTCCTCTCACATTAGTCCTGGTCTCAGGTCTCTGTCCTGAAGTCCTCTCACATTAGTCCTGGACTCAGGTCTCTGTTCTGAAGTCCTCTCACATTAGTCCTGGACTCAGGTCTCTGTCCTGAAGTCCTCTCACATTAGTCCTGGTCTCAGGTCTCTGTCCTGAAGTCCTCTCACATTAGTCCTGGACTCAGGTCTCTGTTTTGAAGTCCTCTCACATTAGTCCTGGACTCAGGCCTCTGTTCTGAAGTCCTCTCACAATAGTCCTGGTCTCAGGTCTCTTTCCTGAAGTCCTCTCACATTAGTCCTGGTCTCAGGTCTCTTTCCTGAAGTCCTCTCACATTAGTCCTGGTCTCAGGTCTCTGTCCTGAAGTCCTCTCACATTAGTCCTGGACTCAGGTCTCTGTTCTGAAGTCCTCTCACATTAGTCCTGGACTCAGGTCTCTGTCCTGAAGTCCTCTCACATTAGTCCTGGTCTCAGGTCTCTGTCCTGAAGTCCTCTCACATTCGTCCTGGTCTCAGGTCTCTGTTCTGAAGTCCTCTCACATTAGTCCTGGTCTGTGACATGTTAGTGCCAAATGAACCAACTCTGACTTGTTTCAGAGTTAGGCTAAAATCTGGAACCGTCTTCCTGAAAATGTGGGCCAATGTTTAAATCCAGGTTGAAACAGTTTTATCGTTACTCTTTTTAATGAACTGTGATTGTTTAACCCTTGCACAGGTTGATAAGCCTTACCTGTTGTCGCGGGCGTGAACTCTGGGGACGCAGCGGTGGGGGAGCCGGCAGAGGACACCCCCCCAGAGGAGACCCCACCAGAGGGGACTGAGGGAGCAGGGGAGGGAGGGGTGGGGGTCTCTGTGAGGGTGAAGTCTTCCTCTCGCTCTGTGGAAAGAACCAAGTGTCAACCTCTGAAAGAACATTTGATAGAACTCCTGTCTCAGAAAATCATTAGAACATATATAATTATAATGAAATATAATTGTATAAAAATAAAGATTACAGAACATAAGCAAGTGGCTGCCTGGTCAGTGCTTGGATGGGAGACCTCTATGAGCCTCACCTGAGCTGCCCTCAGCCTTCATGGTCCTCATCAGGTCGTTGGCTCGTTCCTGACAGTGCAAAGACTCCATCAGAAACAGGACGTAGTCGTCAAACATGAGGTGGATCAGATGGAAGGAGCCTGAGGAGCACAAGGGTTAAGCCTAGCGTACATCGACAGAGAAACTGGGGACAACTAGTTGCAAGGCGGCTTTTGGCAACTGAGAGGAGATGGTGGGAGATGATCAGTTGCCGAAATTGGTCGATGTGCGCGCTCTTACAACTGGAGATGATCAGTCGGTCTCCAGTTTCAGTCAGTTGCCCGTGTTCTACTTTTCGGCAACTAGTTGTCCTCAGTTTCGGAGATATGACCCGATGTGCGCGCTCCATGCGCCGCTCCGACAACGTGTGTGTATTGCGTGTATTGCGAGCCCGCAACAGTTAATGTCAGAAAACACACTGTAGTTGAGGCCAGTTGCTGTCGATGTACGCGCTGTTATTCCCGAGACTGGTCTGCTACTGGGAGTTGCCCGTTTTCGTCAGATTGTCGATGTGTGCGGGGCAGCAACTCATATGCGACGGATATAATCAGTTGCCAGTCCGATGTACGCTAAGCTTTAGGGTTCACTGCGGTCTCCTACATCAGACACATGGACCTCTCTCTCTGGTGTCTCTCTCTGGTCTCTCTCTCTGGTCTCTCTCTCTGGTCTCTCTCTCTGGTCTCTCTCTCTGGTCTCTCTCTCTGGTCTCTCTCTCTGGTCTCTCTCTCTGGTCTCTCTCTGGTCTCTCTCTCTGGTCTCTCTCTCTGGTCTCTCTCTGTGATCTGTTGATCCCTCTCTTTCCTGCTGCAGCTGTTTCTGACCATGTTATTGGTGGAAATATGTGACCTCTGACCCCAGTACAGCTGGACAGGAAGTTACAATCCAGGCTTTGTTCTACTACTGCTGCTGTCACCCAGGGCAGCTGTGGCTACAGTAGTACTTTATCAGCACTGTTTTTGGAGTGAAAAAATAATGATGTGAAGAAACTTTGAGTGTCCATTATTATTATCATTATTATTATTATTATTATTATTATTATTATCATCATCATTATTATCATAATTATCATATTATTATTATCATTATAAATTATTATCATCATCAATATTAATATTAATATTAATAATAAGTATTCGAATTATTAATATTATTATTATAACTATCATTATATGTCTTTATTATTAATATTATAATTAAAGCAATAATAATAATTATTAATATTATTATTATTTGATGCCAAATCTGTGAAGCTGATGTGGTGAAAGTGTTAAAACAAGAGACAGGAAATATGAGATGTTTTTGTTGGTTTGTTCACACACATCAGAGATAGTGTCTTCACGTTCAGCAGCAACACAACAAACAAATTCATATCTTCTCTCACCGAAGCTGGGCGCACTGTGGAGGGTCATGTCCCGAATCACTCTGGTCCCGAAACACGACCACATCAACAGAAACTGCTGCGCCACCTTCTTCAGGCACCCAGGCCTCTGCATCGCCACCTACAGGCACACATCTGCATGAGAGGAGGGGGGAGGAGGGGGAGGGCACCCAGGCACCGCCACCTAGAGGTACACATCTGCATGAGAGGAGGGGGGGGGGGGGGGGGGGGCACCAGACCTCTGCCCCCCCACCATGGATCTATAATAATAACTGGATAGGGTTTTCTAGCTCATAGCTGTCCCACCTATGGGCCAAGGGGACACCCGTGGTACTGCAGACTATCTTCACATGGGCTGCCCATGGAGGAAGGGGTGGGAGGAGGGTGGAGGGGCAGGAGGGGGGGGGGCACCCAGAGACATCTACAGAGACACATCTGCATGAGAGGAGGGGGGACAGGGGTCCGGGTCGCTTTAACCCCCAGGTCCACACTGGGGCTTAACCCTCACCGTCCAAAAACATGTCAACAAGTCATCTGTCAGAGACACGCCTCCATTGAACCATTGTCAGCGCTGACACATTGCCGTGACAACCACATTTTACAAGACCATATTAGGAACATAATGGACGCAAATGGGAAACTTGACGACATCATTAACCAGAGGAGCCACCAGGGGCCTCAGGACCAGCAACACACGGTGTTTGTATATGTATGTGTGTGTGTGTGTCCATTTCTGATTCTGCATGTGTGTGATTTATTTTAGTCTTTAACAACAAACATTTATTCATTAATTACTTGATCTTAACCCAGGACCTTCTGTCTGAGCAGCGAGGGCTCACCACTCTCTCCAGTATCATACAGTTCATATAAAGTACACGTATGTAAATAAAAATATAATCATACCTTGACAACACAGCGGTCAACCATGGAGTCTAACCAGTCGATGTAGGCCTCGATGGGAGACTGCTCCTCCAGCAGCCGGTCAAACTCCTGATACACTAAACACAAGGAAACTCACTTTGAAAACCATTTTTCTCTGACCTCACAACAGAGCAGGACGGGGGGTTTACAGGGGGGGCAATCCACCGAGGGGGGGTTACAACATTTTAGCCTCCATCGTTCCCCTGCAGTGGACGGTTGTGGGAATCACTTTAGTTAATGCAGTTGTGTGATTTAGAAGGATATGGATAGAGACCAAAGGGAGACCAGAGAGAGACCAGAAGGAGACCAGAGAGAGACCAGAGAGAGACCAGAGAAACACCAGAGAGACACCAGAGAGACACCAGAGAGAGACCAGAGAGACACCAGAGAGAGTGACCAGAGAGACACCAGGGACCAGAGAGAGACCAGAGAGACACCAGAGAGAGAGACCAGAGGGAGAGACCAGAGAGAGACCAGAGAAACACCAGAGAGACACCAGAGAGACCCGAGAGAGACCAGAGAGACACCAGAGAGAAACCAGAGAGACACCAGGGACCAGAGAGAGACCAGAGACACCAGAGAGACACCAGAGAGACACCAGAGAGAGACCAGAGAGACACCAGAGAGAGCGGCCAGAGAGACACCAGGGACCAGAGAGACACCAGGGACCAGAGAGAGACCAGAGAGACACCAGAGAGAGAGAGACCAGAGGGAGAGACCAGAGAGAGACCAGAGAAACACCAGAGAGACACCAGAGAGACACCAGAGAGAGACCAGAGAGACACCAGAGAGAGCGACCAGAGAGACACCAGGGACCAGAGAGACACCAGGGACCAGAGAGAGACCAGAGAGACACCAGAGAGAGAGACCAGAGGGAGAGACCAGAGAGAGACCAGAGAAACACCAGAGAGACACCAGAGAGAGACCCGAGAGAGACCAGAGAGACACCAGAGAGAAACCAGAGAGACACCAGGGACCAGAGAGAGACCAGAGAGAGACCAGAGACACCAGAGAGACACCAGAGAGAGACCAGAGGGAGACACCAGAGAGAGACTAGAGAGAGAGCAGAGAGACCATAGAGAGAGCAGAGAGACCAGAGAGAGAGCTGCCTGTTCTGAATGTTATTTATGAATGTAGACAGAATGCTTAAATCCCTATAGTTGGTGGATCTTCTGGTTGTGTGTGTGTCTCACAGTGTGGTTGAGTGTGTTTCACAGTGTGGTTGTGTGTGTGTCTCACAGTGTGGTTGTGTGTGTTTCACAGTGTGGTTGTGTGTGTGTCTCACAGTGTGGTTGTGTGTGTTTCACAGTGTGGTTGTGTGTGTGTCTCACAGTGTGGTTGAGTGTGTTTCACAGTGTGGTTGTGTGTGGGTCTCACAGTGTGGTTGAGTGTGTTTCACAGTGTGGTTGTGTGTGTGTCTCACAGTGTGGTTGAGTGTGTTTCACATGGTGGTTGTGTATGTGTCTCACAGTGTGGTTGAGTGTGTTTCACATGGTGGTTGTGTGTGTGTCTCACAGTGTGGTTGAGTGTGTTTCACATGGTGGTTGTGTGTGTGTCTCACAGTGTACTATGAGCAGCCGTTGCTGGTCCTGGGAGTCCTCCATGGTGTAGAGGGTCTGTTTGGTGATACTGCTCAGGTCCACGTTCCTCCAGTCCTCCAGCATCTGGAAGGTGATGTCTGCACTGTTTATCACGGTCCGCGAGGCCTGCACAGATAAATATACAATAACAACATACCTGACATCTCTAACATCTCTAACATATCCGACATCTCTAACATCTCTAACATATCCGACATCTCTAACATCTCCTCTCAGGTTTTATTAACATCCAGGGGTCGCACCTGACAGAGGTGGTTCAGAGACGTCTGCCGCTTTAGGATTTGAGAAAACCTCCGAGACACTGCAACGCAGGAAGCAGCTATTTTATTATACAGTATATACTGTAGGTAATATTATATATAAGTATATTAAACAGTACATAAGTAATATTATATATAAGTATATTAAACAGTATATAAGTAGTATTACATATAAGTATATTAAACAGTATATAAGTAGAATAATACATAAGTATTAGAATATATGGCTTTAGAAGTTCTTATAATAAGACAAGTAAAGTAAAGAAAACTAGTACTGCTTAATTACCAGAGAGAGATCAGAGAAAGACCAGAGAGAGACCAGAGACACATGAGAGAGACCAGACACCAGAGACACCAGAGAGAGACCAGAGAGAGACCAGAGAGAGAGACCAGAGAGACACCAGAGAGAGAGCAGAGAGAGACCAGAGAGAGACCAGAGAGGGAGCAGAGAGAGAACAGAGAGAGAGCTGCCTGTTCTGAATGTTATTTATGAATGCAGACTCTAAAACGCAGACTCAACAACAGCTGTTAAGAGACGCGTCACACCATTACGTGTCGACCCTGATGAAGGCGGAAGTGTACCGCCCAAACAAGTCAGGTAATTAAGCAGTACAAGCTTTCTTTACTTTTATTGTCTTATTAGAAGAACCTCTAAAGCCTTAAACATAAAAAGACAAAATGAACTTTTTACATTTATTATAATATATGTATTATTATAGAAAGTTATGACTCACGTTCAAACTTGATGTTCCGGAGGTTTTCTGGAAGGTCGTGGAGAGCGATCTTCAGCCACTCGTCCAGTTGTTTGGCAAATTTACGAATCACTTGAGTCAAACTAAAACAGAAGTGACTCATGTTAATGAGGAGAATGTGAGTGTGTGTCTGAGTGCGTGTGCGTGTGCGTGTGTGTGTGTGTGTGTGGGGGGGGGGGGGGGGGGGTTGTGTATATGAGGCGGGGTTGTGTATGTATGGGGGAGTTGTGTATGTGTGGGGGGGTTGTGTATGTGAGGGGGGGTTGTGTATGGTAGGGGGGGTTGTGTATGTATGGGGGAGTTGTGTAAGTGTGGGGGGTGTGTATGTGTGGGGGGTCACCTGTCTGGCAGAGCCTGCAGCACAGTGGGCATGAGGACCCCAGAGATGGCCTTGTACAGGATGGAGTCACAGACCCCCACGATGTTCACCACAGTGGGGGACCCCAGCACCGGCAGCATGTGGGGGGGCATGCCCTGCCAGAAGTGCAGCAGGAAGCTCTGCACCTGAAACCAAAGGGTTAGATGGTTTTTATAAGAACCTTTAAACACAGGACACACAACTGTACTGGACTGAGACCATAGACCCACAATGGTATGTTCTGCCACGGCGACAGCAGCACACAGCACCGCTAACATCTATAAATAGTGTAATTTAACTTTCATAAATACTTCCGTGCATAACCTTCAGTGAAAAAACTAGGGATGCACCGATACCACTTCATTCAAACCGAAGTACCTTATTGTGAGTACATGTCGATACCGAGTACCGATACGAACTGTTCTGGGAATTCATAAAATTAAACTGACATTTTACATGTTTTAATTCTCATGACATAACAATTAAACCTTTTAGCAATTGTTTTAACAGTCAACAATAAGAGCAACTGTCGTATTCCACCCGTACAGTCGGTTGTTGTTGTGCTCTGGTGCTAGCTCATATGCTAGCAAAGGAGCTACACTTTGCCGCTATACTAGTTTTCAGATGTTTGATCCAGTTGCTGGTGTTATACGTGTTTGTTTTGGACCTACCTTGTGACAGTTTTATACAACGTACAGTCCGCTTTACTCTTGTCACTCGTTTACTTAAAAACAGACCTAGCCTTAGCCTAGCTTAGCCTAGCTTAGCGGCTAGCGGCAGCTTTCCCGCGGCAGAGATCACCATGGCAACACGTCCCGCCTGCTGTCTTGACGCTAATGGACACTGGTGCTGCTCCCTATGGACCAATGGTGCGTTTGTGATTCTCTAATCTATTTTTGACGAATTGACAACTCCGTATAGTCCTTTGAGACAATTGCTGCTGTGGTTTAGGGCGATACATAAATGAATTGAACAGGAAACCTCGTAGCATCAGTGTGATGGTTAAGTGCAGACACAGACTCAAACATTACGAATGTTTTCTGTTGAGATAAAGAGGGGATGTTGAGCTCTGCTTTGGTCAATTTAATTACATTTATTTTACAAAGTTGTTGATTGGCCAACAACAGATCAGAGAATCAAACACATACATGTTGATAGAATGGTCACATAAGACTCGTTCTGTTGAGGCCAGTGTGGGCGGGTCCCAGCTCTAAAAGGTCCATGAGCGTGTGCACTGACATGCTGCAATCTCACTCCTCCCGGTGGGGGTGGACCCGGGAGTAAGAATTACCCAATGCTATGGCGTCTCCTTTCCTCCGGAAAACCTCTCTACATGATAGCCCAAAAGTGGCTCTTGGTCCAAAAGCGGTACACGCTAGTAATACTCAATCCAGATATTATTATAGATCCATGGTTTTTTCACATGTTCTTGTCCCGCGGCCAATTTGAAAAAGTCATTGAAGGTGAAAGTGATGTCACATTAGTTTGAACGGCGGAGACAGATGTGACTACGTCTGTAATATTTAGAGTATGGTGGAAACAAAAGAAACTCCAGCTTTAAAGGAGAATGTTCAGTGACATGTGTTTTATTCTTTGAAACAGAAGGGTTCACCTCGTCAAAGTTGGCTCTGATGACGGTGTCCAGGATCCTCTGGCAGTGTGTCCGGTACATCATGATGAAGGTGGAGACCTGCGGACACAGGATCAACGTCACCATTGACTTTCTCTGGTGGGAAACGTAAACGCAAAAACAAGGAAATAAATCTCACACAAAGCATGAGAAGCAATAAACACAGCTGAAGGTCGAGGGAGAAAGCAGCTTCAGAGAAACACAGCGTTTAAAATCATGGCCTCTTTAAACTCAGACAGCTCCTTTGTCCCAGATCTATTATCACTAAGATTAAGAGTCAGTGAGAAGCACACCAGAAACTCTGAGGTGCTTCTCCAGGGGCCTGAGAGAGAGACAGGGGCCTGAAGAGAGAGAGGAGCCGAAGAGAGAGGGGCCGAAGAGAGAGAGGGGCCGAAGAGAGAGAGGGGCCAAAGAGAGAGAGGGGCCAAAGAGAGAGACGGGCCAAAGAGAGAGAGGGGCCGAAGAGAGAGAGAGGCAGAGAAAGAGGGGTCGAAGAGAGAGAGGGGCAGAGAGAGAGAGAGGCCGAAGAGAGAGAGGGGCCGAAGGGAGAGGGGCCGAAGGGAGAGACGCCGAAGAGAGAGAGAGGCCGAAGAGCGATAGGGGCAGAGAGGGAGGGGCCGAAGAGAGAGAGGGGCCGAGAAAGAGAGGAAGCAGAGAGAGAGAGGCCGAGAGGGAGGGGCCGAAGAGAGAGAGGGGCCGAGAAAGAGAGGAAGCAGAGAGAGAGGGGCCGAAGAGAGAGGAGCCGAAGAGAGAGAGGGGCCAAAGAGAGAGACGGGCCAAAGAGAGAGAGGGGCCGAAGAGAGAGAGAGGCAGAGAAAGAGGGGTCGAAGAGAGAGAGGGGCAGAGAGAGAGAGGCCGAAGAGAGAGAGGGGCCGAAGGAAGAGGGGCCGAAGGGAGAGACGCCGAAGAGAGAGAGAGGCCGAAGAGAGATAGGAGCAGAGAGGGAGGGGCCGAAGAGAGAGAGGGGCCGAGAAAGAGAGGAAGCAGAGAGAGAGAAGCCGAGAGGGAGGGGCCGAAGAGAGAGAGGGGCCGAGAAAGAGAGGAAGCAGAGAGAGAGGGGCCGAAGAGAGAGGAGCCGAAGAGAGAGAGGGGCCAAAGAGAGAGACGGGCCAAAGAGAGAGAGGGGCCGAAGAGAGAGAGAGGCAGAGAAAGAGGGGTCGAAGAGAGAGAGGGGCAGAGAGAGAGAGGCCGAAGAGAGAGAGGGGCCGAAGGGAGAGGGGCCGAAGGGAGAGACGCCGAAGAGAGAGAGAGGCCGAAGAGAGATAGGGGCAGAGAGGGAGGGGCCGAAGAGAGAGAGGGGCCGAGAAAGAGAGGAAGCAGAGAGAGAGAAGCCGAGAGGGAGGGGCCGAAGAGAGAGAGGGGCCGAGAAAGAGAGGAAGCAGAGAGAGAGGGGCCGAAGAGAGAGGAGCCGAAGAGAGAGAGGGGCCAAAGAGAGAGACGGGCCAAAGAGAGAGAGGGGCCGAAGAGAGAGAGAGGCAGAGAAAGAGGGGTCGAAGAGAGAGAGGTGCAGAGAGAGAGAGGCCGAAGAGAGAGAGGGGCCGAAGGAAGAGGGGCCGAAGGGAGAGACGCCGAAGAGAGAGAGAGGCCGAAGAGAGATAGGAGCAGAGAGGGAGGGGCCGAAGAGAGAGAGGGGCCGAGAAAGAGAGGAAGCAGAGAGAGAGAGAAGCCGAGAGGGAGGGGCCGAAGAGAGAGAGGGGCCGAGAAAGAGAGGAAGCAGAGAGAGAGGGGCCGAAGAGAGAGGAGCCGAAGAGAGAGAGGGGCCAAAGAGAGAGACGGGCCAAAGAGAGAGAGGGGCCGAAGAGAGAGAGAGGCAGAGAAAGAGGGGTCGAAGAGAGAGAGGTGCAGAGAGAGAGAGGCCGAAGAGAGAGAGGGGCCGAAGGGAGAGGGGCCGAAGGGAGAGACGCCGAAGAGAGAGAGAGGCCGAAGAGAGATAGGGGCAGAGAGGGAGGGGCCGAAGAGAGAGAGGGGCCGAGAAAGAGAGGAAGCAGAGAGAGAGAAGCCGAGAGGGAGGGGCCGAAGAGAGAGAGGGGCCGAGAAAGAGAGGAAGCAGAGAGAGAGGAGCCGAAGAGAGAGGAGCCGAAGAGAGAGAGGGGCCAAAGAGAGAGAGAGGCAGAGAAAGAGGGGTCGAAGAGAGAGAGGGGCTGAAGGGAGAGGCGCCGAAGGGAGAGGGGCCGAAGGGAGAGACGCCGAAGAGAGAGAGAGGCCGAAGAGAGAGGGGCCGAAGAGAGATAGGGGCAGAGAGGGAGGGGCCGAAGAGAGAGAGGGGCCGAGAAAGAGAGGAAGCAGAGAGAGAGAGGCCGAGAGGGAGGGGCCGAAGAGAGAGAGGGGCCGAGAAAGAGAGGAAGCAGAGAGAGAGGGGCCGAAGAGAGAGAGGGGCCAAAGAGAGAGAGGGGCCAAAGAGAGAGAGGGGCCAAAGAGTAGAGCTGAAACGATTAATCTAATAACTCAAATAATTTGATTATTAAAAATAGTCGAGGAATTTAACGTGATTACTAGAATTTAATATGCTGCTATCCAGAATATATAACTACAATATGTGTTCATTTTGACATGTTCAGATGAATTATGTTAAAAAAACGGCTTTGAAGTGGCACCTTATAACAAACTGGCGGCGATGACATAGGGGAAGGCCATCTCACAGCAGCAGACAGCAGTCTGGTTGGAAACTGTAGGAGGTTTCACTGTCATCTGAACAAGGTATAAACATATTTTCATCCGTTTTGTACATAATAGTGTGCAACTCTTTTAACTTTTTAGCCTTATTTGTGAGATTCAAGCTAATTAGTGTTGGGTAAGTTAGCTAACTCTACTTGATATCATAAAACATGCTAACAAGGCTAATATTCGTTTTCACATTATGCCAGTCTCACTTTGGTTGCCTTAGATTTATTTACCACAATGTACATTGTAATATTAAAAAATGCTAATCAAAATAACTTGAATTAAATAAATATTTTACTTTTATGAACAAAAAGCTGCAGAAGTTGAAAACATAGACTACATGTGATGCAATCATTGATACAAATGCTAATTAAACAGTTAATAGGTGTTAGCATTTTTGAATATTACAATGTACACTGTGGTAAATAAATCTAAGGCAACCAAAGTGAGACTGGCATAATGTGAAAACGAATATTAGCCTTGTTAGCATGTTTTATGATGTCAAGTAGAGTTAGCTAACTTGCCCAACACTAATTAGCTTGAATCTCACAAATAAGGCCATCCATCCATCCATCCATCCATGTTTATACCTTGTTCAGATGACAGTGAAACCTCCTACAGTTTCCAGCTAAGACTGCTGTCTGCTGCTGTGAGAGGTCCTTTTCCTACGTCATCGCCGCCATTTTGGCCCCCCCTAGCGTTTCTATGCGGAAGTGAAAAGGCCACTTCAAAGCCGTTTTTTTAACATAATTCATCTGAATATGTCAAAATGAACACCCGAAATATTATAAACACATATTGTAGTTATATATTCTGGATAGCAGCATATTAAATTCTAGTACTACTTTAAGCTGCATCCATGCTTCGTATGCAGTAGTTTATTTGTGGCATTTTCCATTGTTTGCTCCATAGACTTTTCTCACGATTCTTTTTGTGTTGCGCAACATGTTTACGTCACAGATCTTCCGTGCCCTGCGCTGCACAGCACTGCATGGTCTGCATGCATTGCTAGTGTTTGTAAAACTTTTTCGCGGACAATGCTTTGATCTATTATCACATCAATGGAGGACGACGGAGAATGCACTGGCAAAGACAGGAGAGTTAATAAGAAACGTCTAAAGTGTGGGAGCATTTCATTCTGAACACTAAACCGGAGTAGTTTGCACACAGTGCTAAGTGGAACTAGCATCTCATTTTAGCACCGGCTTGATGCTGCCTCACCTGACGAGGAAGCATCGAGGGAAGACCCGAGACGAAGTAAGTCAACTTTCATGTTATGGTGTAAGGCACACATTGTGAAAGTAAAATTTTGATAATTATGATAACACGGAGGGGTTTTCCCGCTAACAGTCAAGCACTGCCAAAGCGGCATGGTTGAAAACTATCAATGTAGCCGCTTGTCGCCTACAGTTAGCCTTTCATTTGTTAACGCAGGGATGACGCAGAAAGGTTTATCAGTACCTACATAAGACATGTGTTATGAATGTTTTACTAATGTTATGTAATGTTTTACTTAATTTGACATTCACTACAATCCTAGTTCTAACGGGTATTGTACTACTCCACAACAGTTATTTGAACTCCGTACATAATATGCCTGTATGAACACTGTGGACCAAGATCTATCAGCAGTTACAGAGCTGTAGGAATGAGGAGCACACGGTAAAAGAGATGTGAACAATAACAATATACTACAATTAAATAAAATCTCTAACTTTTAATGGAAAAATAAGTATAAAATGCTGTAGCGTAGTATTGTATAGTGTCATATATAGTCAGACACATGTGGTTCTATATTACATATTATAATTATTGCAGAGATGCACAACATGTGAGGGCAGCAGTGTTCTAATATATGACATATTGAATCTGGAAGGGGTGTGCGATTGACAATTAACGTCTGCTTTTCCCTGTCTTTCAGTAAACCATCACAGCCTGTTTAGTACCAGTTCCTGCTCCCAGCACCAGCAGCTGTTCTGACAAAGAACATTTGAAATATGCTGCTCAGAGACATGCGCCTCATCTGATTCTTTTCAATCTGGAAGGACTCGAAAGTCAGCCGTGTCTTCTTTTGATATGAATGCAATAAACTGTATACAATTTAAAAACAGTTATCATTATTAAATGGTTTTCATTTGATATTGTATATTTTTAATTAGGCAAAAAAATAAAAGAAAACTTGATTAATCGATTGGTGTATTTGATAGAATAATTGATTACCAATAATATAGAGGGGCCGAGAGAGAGAGGCCGAAGAGAGAGAGGGGCCAAGAGAGAGGGGCCAAGAGAGAGAGGCCGAAGAGAGAGAGGGGCCAAGAGAGAGGGGCCAAGAGAGAGAGGCCGAAGAGAGAGAGGGGCCCGAGAGGCCAATCCCTGTGCTCCTCAGAGTCCCAGTAGGAGGCTAGTCCCTGTGCTCCTCAGGTGGTGTTTCTGTCTTGTTTTATGAAGTAACCTCTCCTCTGACAGGGTGGGGGGGTCTTACCCTCTCCTCTGGCAGGGTGGGAGGCAGGTTGAGGTCCTTGACGTTGGGGAACTCTGGGAGCAGCGTTCCCAGTTTGGATCGTGGAGAATACGCCACCGTCTGCTTTGTTGCCTCCTTCTTTCCGCTGTCGTTCGTCCACGCAGCGCCTTTCTTTGAGTACATCACATCATAGTGCGGCGAGCTCTCCTTCACCGCAATGCCGTAGTAATGGTACCTGTACCAGGGGGCAGAGGTCATGTACCAGGGGGCAGAGGTCATGGGGTCATGCAAGGAGTCTTACTTGGATTGTCCTCTGGTTCCCAGTCTTCTGGTCGTCAGTGCTGGAAACTGTTGCCGTATGATCTGTGTGTGACATAATGTTTTATTGTATCAAATATTTTGTTTTGTCTCAGGCCCGTGTAGACGGACTGCAGAGCAATGAACAGAAACGACCCGTTATTCTAATGTTTGGCCTCAGGACGACTGTAGCTGCGTCACACACATGTGATGTCACTGTCTGTTCTCTCCAAGGAGATGAACCACCTCCTCATCAACAAGACCAAGGAGATGAACCATCTCCTCATCAACAAGACCAAGGAGATGAACCACCTCCTCATCAACAAGACCAAGGAGATGGACCACCTCATCAACAAGACCAAGGAGATGAACCACCTCCTCATCAACAAGACCAAGGAGATGAACCACCTCCTCATCAACAAGACCAAGGAGATGAACCACCTCCTCATCAACAAGACCAAGGAGATGAACCACCTCCTCATCAACAAGACCAAGGAGATGAACCACCTCCTCATTAACAAGACCAAGGAGATGAACCACCTCCTCATCAACAACAAGACCAAGGAGATGAACCACCTTCTCATCAACAAGACCAAGGAAATGAACCACCTCCTCATCAACAAGACCAAGGAGATGAACCACCTCCTCATCAACAAGACCAAGGAGATGAACCACCTCCTCATCAACAAGACCAAAGAGATGAACCACCTCCTCATCAACAAGACCAAAGAGATGAACCACCTCCTCATCAACAAGACCAAGGAAATGAACCACCTCCTCATCAAAAAGACCAAAGAGATGAACCACCTCCTCATCAACAAGACCAAAGAGATGAACCACCTCCTCATCAACAAGACCAAAGAGATGAACCACCTCCTCATCAACAAGACCAAAGAGATGAACCACCTCCTCATCAACAAGACCAAAGAGATGAACCACCTCCTCATCAACAAGACCAAAGAGATGAACCACCTCCTCATCAACAAGACTAAAGAGATGAACCACCTCCTCATCAACAAGACCCAAGAGATGAACCACCTCCTCATCAACGCGGGGAAGACCAAGGAGAGAGTGGATTTCCGTAGACGTCACTCAGCTGCTCCAGCCCCAGTGAACATCCAGGGAAGGGACATTGAGAGAGTGGACTCCCCTCTCTCTCCCCCCCCCCTCTCTCTCTCTCCCCCCTCTCTCCCCCTTTCTCTCTCTCCCCCCTCTCCCTCTCTCTCCCCCCTCTCTCTCTAACCTCTCTCTCCCCCTCTCTCTAACCCCTCTAACCTCTCTCTCCCCCTCTCTCTAACCTCTCTCCCCCTCTCTCTCTTTCTCTCTCCCCCTCTCTCTAACCTCTCTCTCCCCCCTCTAACCTCTCTCTCTCCCCCTCCTCTCTCTAACCTCTCTCTTTCTCCCCCCTCTCTCTAAACTCTCTCTCCCCCCTCTCTCCCCCTCTCCCCCTTGGCTCCTGGTGTAAGACCCTTTAGTAAACAGTGTAGCGTTCCTTTGTGTGTGATGAAAAAAGAGGCCACGCTGTGAAGTTTCTGTCAGACTGCGGTGATAGATGAGCAGGAGGCAGCACAGGCCTTTGTTCTGTCCCCAACCAATGAAACCACCCCCCCACACACAGGACGACCCCCCCACACACACACAGGACACCCCCGTCAGGACACCCCCCACTGCTGCAGCCACTGATCTAACATTCCGCAACATCTCACCCTTCTCCAAACTCCCTTTAATTACACATTAATCCAGGCCCCTTCTCTTTTTCAATATCTTCCGACAGGAGTGGAGCAGGGTGGTGGCCTGGGTAGGGCAGGGGGGGGAGAGGGGGCGACTTCTTGGGGGTTGTGGGAACAGACCAAAGCTGTAGCAGTTTGGCTGCAGGTTCCGGCAGAACTGTGATGAGAGAAGCTTTTAACTTCTGCCTCTGGGAGGGTGAGTGTGAGGGTTAGTGTGAGGGTGAGGGTTAGTGTTAGGGCTAGGGTAAGCATGAGGGTTAGTGTGAGGGTGAGGGGTGTAAAGGGGTCTAAAGCGTGGCTTACCTGTGACAATGTTACTTTATCCTTATTTTAAAGGAAAATTTGGTGTGCCACAGGGATCGGTACTCGGACCGATTATTTTCAAACTCTACATGCTGCTTTTAGGAAACATCATTAAAAAGCATGGAATTAACTTCCACAGCTGCAGACACAGCCTTACCTGTTGATGAAACCAAATCAGACGGATCAGTTGAAAAGGCTTAGTGCTGCATTAAAGTCCTAAAAAACATGGATGACTCTTAAAGCTGCATTACCTGACTTTATTTTTGTATTTATTACAAAAATTCAATCCATATCCATGCAATGCATTGGGATATACGTGCTTTTGAAGAGAAAGTAGCGCAGATTTGTGCTGGCGTGTTATTTTATTTTAGATTGAGTTTTGGTGCAACAAGGAAGAGAATGTGTTTCGGGTCCAGTTGGTGACCAATCACAGCGGACCACTGGCCCCCACTTTCTTGAGAAAAGCTACAGGTCTCCCGTTAGCACAGACAGCTAAGGTAAACAAGCGGCAGAGGCTAACCTGAAGCTTCCTGTGTCTTCGTTAAGCCTAGTGTATACTTGCGCGGCGTGGCTTTAGTTAGCGGTTGCGGTGGACCTACGTAAGCACAATTGATGTTATACTGGCGCGTTCCCCTTACGGAGTTTTGAGGAGAATGTTGTAATCCCACAACAAACCACATGAGGGCGATCACACAGGAGCGGCCCCATTTTGCGCTGCTACTTTGTTCTCTTCAATAGCAAACAAAGCTGTTTGAGCTCATTACACATGTTTCTACTGTAGGTTTATGTGATAGTTTTATGGATTCATTATTTTATAAGTCATTTCAACTGTGATGCTGTGAATAAAGACAGTTCTTGTTGGAAACATAGTTATTATTAAATAGTTTTCAGCACAAACAGCAAAACAATAATAGTGGTAAATATCTGAGACAAACATGAACGATTTACGAGTGCAGGAGGAAAGCAACAAACGCAGCTACGATTCAAACAAACGACTGCACAGTTTATAAGTTATATATATATATATATGTTAGATAGTCCACTGTCTCCTGTATATCAGGCTCTGAGCCCAAACTGCTTTTCCTTCGAAGCACAACGCTCTCTGCTCCATAGTGCCTCGTCCATGTCCCTGCTGCAGCCGCTTCATGCTTCCTTCCAATACACACACACGGACCAATCACAGCGGAGATTCCTTGCGGCGACCCTTACGTAGTTAGAAAATTCCGATGCTGCGCGGCAGGCGACGTAAGGGCCTTGCGGTGACCAACGCGTTGCGCAAGTGACGTCACGTCACCTCCGTAAGCTCAGCGCCCCGCGAGTATAAACTAGGCTTTACCGGTTTCTGCTTACGCAGCGAAACAGCCATCCAAAAGATAGTCTCGTTCCTCCGCGCTTCCCGGTTCAATCATTCTATGGTCACGCCATCCACTTTCAAATGTGCGATCCATATTGTGAGACGTGAGCTCCGTATACAATTAGCATGTGAGCACAAGCTGGGGGGGGGGCAAAAGCTCCGTGCGGTGAGGGCGAGCAGAAAGAGCGAGCTCAGCGCTCTCATTCGAAAATTTCTAAAAGTCGGTTAGTGCAGCTTTAACTTTCTACTTCTTAACCCGGAGAAGACAGAAGCATAAAACCATCAACTCTGTGACAACGTCAGCATAGAACCATCAACTCTGTGACAACCAGTGATGGGAATAACGGCGTTTTTTCAGTAACGAGTAATCTAACTAATTACTTTGACTGAAACTATAACGCCGTTATCATTTCCGACATCCCGTTACTGCGCGTTACTAAAGACGCACAATGAACTTCTCTTTTTACTTTGTGATAGGACTCGTGTGCGTGTTGTCATGAGAGAAGGGAGGATGAGAAAAACATATTTCCTTTACAATCCACATGTCTACAGTTGAGAGGATGGTCATAAATTGTGTTTTTGAAAAAAATATGGGTCAAAGTCGCGCTCAACCACAGCTTGTATCACCGTGAGGGCTCAGAGGAGCGCATGTGAGTGCAGAAGTCGGCTGCATACAATTCCATCAGAAAGCTCCTTTCTCTTCCTGGTTTATCTGCTACGGGCAGCAACAGGTTTGGCTAACATATATATAACACATTTTAAGATAATTTAAAATGCACTTACGGTAATTTTTCAATGATAGGAATGATAAGAAAGAGAGGTGAAGTGTAAGACGGTTGATTTTAGAAATTGGATGCACCCGGCTGCAGCAAAACAGAGTAGTTTACGGAGGACACACGCGTTTTGTTTTACTTTTTAAAACTCATTTCCAAATGGAGGATTACATATCTACGCTCAAACTATTATCTGGACTTAAACACAGAACTGGTCTGAACTGAAGTGGTCTGTGCAGGTCATTTATAAGGTAAGACCCATAACTCATAGTTTTGCGTTTTGTATGAACAAACAATGCGGCCATGAAACATATTTTGCTGTAGCCAAACAAATTGTCCACTTGATTTATATGATATATATGTCCATCTGATTGGTCTGAAGTCAGTGCTTTACCGGTGTTTCCACATTCACGGTGGCGGGTGTTGGTGTTTAGTGCTTACAGCACAGAGAGAGATGGAGAGTGAACAGGACTTCAGCGGCAAAACAGCCTTTTCTAGATGGAAATATTGGCACTATTTCAGACTCACTGAGGTTAAAGGTAAAAATGCGCACCTCGAGTGCACATTATGTTCCAGAACAAAACGAAAAAGTAACGCAATAGTTACTTTTACTGGTAACTAGTTACTTTTATAGTGGAGTAACTCCGTTAGTAACTCAGTTACTTTTTGGGAGAAGTAACTAGTAACTATAACTATTTACTTTTTCAAAGTAACGTGCCCAACACTGGTGACAACGTCAGCATAGAACCATCAACTCTGTGACAACGTCAGCCAAGAACCATCAACTCTGTGTCAACGTCAGCATAGAACCATCAACTCTGTGTCAACGTCAGCATAGAACCATCAACTCTGTGACATCAGCATAAAACCATCAACTCTGTGACAACGTCAGCATAGAACCATCAACTGTCACGTCAGCTTAAAACCATCAACTCTGTGACAACGTCAGCATAGAACCATCAACTCTGTGACAACGTCAGCATAGAACCATCAACTCTGTGACAACGTCAGCATAGAACCATCAACTCTGTGTCAACGTCAGCATAGAACCATCAACTCTGTGACATCAGCATAAAACCATCAACTCTGTGACAACGTCAGCATAGAACCATCAACTCTGTCACGTCAGCTTAAAACCATCAACTCTGTGACAACGTCAGCATATAACTATAACTCTGTGACAACGTCAGCATAGAACCATCAACTCTGTGAGGAATCTTGGAGTGGTTTTCGACTAAGAACTCTCCTTCAAGGCTTAATCCAAGAAACTAAAACAGTGTATTTCCACCTGTGGAACATTCACTAAAATCAGGAATATCCTAAAAGTGAAGCAGAATAACTGATCCACGCTTTTGTCTCCTCAAGGCCTGACTGTAGCGCCCCCTGCTGGCAGCGTGCCCTAAAACCTCTTTAAAGAGCTTCCAGCTCATTCAGAATACAGCAGCAAGGATCTTAACAGGCACCAAAAGGAGGGAGCACATAACCCCGGTGTTAAAATCACTCCACTGGCTTCTGTGGAGGATAGAATGACAGTCTGACACAGGTCTAAAGGTCTGACACAGGTCTAAAGTGTGAGTCTGACACAGGTCTAAAGGTCTGACACAGGTCTAAAGCGTGGGTCTGACACAGGTCTAAAGGTCTGACACAGGTCTAAAGTGTGGGTCTGACACAGGTCTAAAGCGTGGTCTGACACAGGTCTATAGCGTGGTCTGACACAGGTCTAAAGTGTGGGTCTGACACAGGTCTAAAGCGTGGTCTGACACAGGTCTATAGCGTGGTCTGACACAGGTCTAAAGTGTGGGTCTGACACAGGTCTAAAGCGTGGTCTGACATGGTTCTAAAGTGTGGCCTACCTTTCCGAAGCTGGCGGCGTTGACCGGCTGCATGTCGTGTTTCTCGCTGAAGTCCAGATAGTGCATGTACAGAGCACTGCGGGGGATACACACGCCCTCCGCGATCTCATAGTTATCCTCCAGCCTGCACACACGCCATTACACACTCATTCTATTGTTCTATTATTATATTATTTTATTTATTTATTACAGAGAGTTTCCTTTGTCCCTTTTTATTTTCACCATTTTCAGTTGTTTTCATTTCTTTCCCAGCTGCTTTGAGCTCTGTCTCAGATAAACCTCAGGAGGAGACTTCAAGGACAGGACTGGGTTGAAGGCCCTGGTTTATACTTATACTTTTGAGGCTGAGACTGAGACTGAACGTAGTCACGCCTTGGCCTGACTCTCGCCAGACCCATGTAGTTTGTTGCACTTCACACATGCATCTGGGCCTCCTCCATAGCAGTTGGATTTCAGAAGGTGGGGCCTTCTAAAAAAAAAAATCATTGTATGTGATTGGATAAACCACTTGTCCGTTATCTTGAATGACGTCTTCCTTCAACCACTCACATCAAAGCTCACAACTCCCATGGATTGCCGGCATGATTTTCAAGCCCAAAACCCGCGAGAATGCCCAAAAAAAAAACACCCAGAATGATTTTTTGGCTAAAAACTTATGACCTATCATGATTCTGTGTATTTATTACCTACAAGTCTCTTGAAGAAAAGTATGCGAGAAACCACCCTACCTGGCAACCCTGCTGCATAGTGGAACACTTAAACCAGTACTTAAACCAAACTTTACACAAACATTTGACTCTTAAAACACACATATTACAACATGGAACCATCAACATCTCGCCACATATTGCATTAAAAGTGACATCCGTGTCTTAATTAGTTCGTATTTAAACTTTTAAAACAATTCACAGACTTCATGTCAGCCATCTTGGATTGCTTTTGCTGGTGCGTGAGACACGCTTAGAAGGCGGTGCAAACCCGACGTAACACCGGCGATCCTGATTGGTCGATTATTTTCTGATCTGCTGAAGGAGTTTGGTATGCTCGATACCAGACCAATGTGGTTCAGCCAAACGCCTCTGGTGGAGCATGGCGGAACTACAAGGGTCTGGCAGAGCCAGGCTAGAGGCTGAGGCTGAGACTGAGACTGATCTCTCCCTGATCTCCTCCTGATCTCCTCCTGATCTCTTCCTGGTCTCCCACTGATCTCCCTCTGGTGTCCCCCTGGTCTCCTCCTGGTCTCCTCCTAGTCTCCCCCTGGTCTCCTCCAGGAGAGGAGCGAGACCAGGAGGAGACCCAGGACACAGAAGTGTTTCAGCTGAACGCCTCAGGATTTCCCCAGATGAGCTTTTTTTATACTGCACATGGCTAATAAAACGAATCTGAATCTGAGCTGTAGGTGGTGTCTGGGGAAAGGGAGGTGTCTCTGTTCAGTCTGCTGCCTCTGTGACCCGGTAATGGATAAAGAGGAAGAACTTGGATGGAGAATATTTAGATGTTAATCCACAGGGGCTGAAACATAATAATGTGTAGAATCCACCACTAGAGGGCGGAAGACTGAGGCAAACAGCCTCTCTGATCTATGACGTCATTGATAACACTGGTGTGGATGTAGAAGAACTACATTATTATGAATAATATTGTTATTATTAAGGTTATTAATATATATTCAACACTTTTAAAGTTCATTCTTAAAACATTTTCAAACTCTACAGAGAAAGAAAAAAACAGACCATTCCAGAGTCGCAGGCGTCGAGTGAGGTTTGGACGCTCTGTTATTCTCCTTCTCCTCATCTACACACACACACAAATAGACACACACACACATTAGTGAAGGGTACAAAAATATATTACATAATCATTGGTGTGTGTGTGTCTGGTTCAGGGTTTAGTCAGAAAGTCTAATAATAAGTTCTTATGGTTTAAATTAAACGGTTGGATTAATACTAAGTTTGTAAAACTTTATAAACATAACAATCAATATAAACTTTATAAACATTAAAATCATTACAAACTTTATAAAACCTAGTGTTTATGTTTATAACATACACATTAATTAAATAAAAAATAAAATCCTATTCTTGGTTTCATTAACCTGGCCAGTAGGGGGCGAATGAGCAGAGGTGGGACAACTCAGTTTTGCTTCCATTGAAAACCATGTAAAGTCTGTTTTGGAGTCAAAGGCTCTCCTCCTGTGCGGTGTACGGTTGTTGTAACAGTCTTAATTGGGGACACTCAATTCTAAGGGAGAACTAAAAAAATATAGAGTCTTGATTTCGGGCGTTTCATTGGGGTGGCCTGCAGGGGGCGCTTATCTGGGAAAGCCTTGATCCACCTCGCCCGCCTCATTCCAGTGTTTTTTTCAAAGTGTCCTTTATATGAGACCACAGTTGGAACATGAACAAACTCTTGTCTTTCTCTCTATTTGTGCGGTTGCTACAAGCGTACACCGCACAAAAAGATGGCATTTTGACAGAGCTTCTTCTTCTACTATATCTCCGTGTATAAACCCGACAGACTGCACCGCCAGGGGACGTCACGTCCTGTCCTACGTTTGTTATTCGCCACTGCCCTGACGTCATATGAAACCCAAGCATAGAACCTTGTTTTTGAAAATTTCGAAAACAGTCAGGCTTGCACTCAAATCTTTGTCAAATCTTTAGCCCGTTATCACTTCATCCCATTAGCACTTTAGCACTTTATCCCAATAGCACTTTAGCCCGTTAGTACTTTATCCCATTAGCATGTTAGCACGTTAGTCCATTAGCAGGTTAGCATGTTAGCATTCTTACGCTCGTCGTTGGACATGTTTCCCAGAGACATGACGCTGTAGCGTTTGCTCTCGCTCTCGTTGAGGCAGCGCTCGATCCAGCTCTCTGTAAACACAGTTATATATACTTTATATAAAGAGTTATTTATACTTTATATAAACAGTTATTCATACTTTATATAAACATTATTTATACTTTATATAAACAGTTATTCATACTTTATATAAACATTATTTATACTTTATATAAACATTATACTTTATATAGACATTATTTATACTTTATATAAACATTATTTATACTTTATATAAACAGTTATTCATACTTTATATAAACAGTTATTCATACTTTATATAAACATTATTTATACTTTATATAAACAGTTATTTATACTTTATATAAACATTATTCATACTTTATATAAACAGTTATTCATACTTTATATAAACATTATTTATACTTTATATAAACATTATTTATACTTTATATAAACAGTTATTTATACTTTATATAAACATTATTCATACTTTATACAAACAGTTATTCATACTTTATATTTAGACTGAAACATGTCACAGAGAAACTTTATCATGTCCTGGATCAAAGACTAACACAGACGTTACAGACACAGACGTTACAGACACAGACGTTACAGACACAGACGTTACAGACACAGACGTTACAGACACAGACGTTACAGACACAGACGTTACAGACACAGACGTTACAGACACAGACGTTACAGACAGACGTTACAGACACAGACGTTACAGACACAGACGTTACAGACACAGACGTTACAGACACAGACGTTACAGACAGACGTTACAGACACAGACGTTACAGACACAGACGTTACAGACACAGACGTTAGACACAGACGTTACAGACACAGACGTTACAGACACAGACGTTACAGACAGACGTTACAGACACAGACGTTACAGACACAGACGTTACAGACACAGACGTTACAGACACAGACGTTACAGACACAGACGTTACAGACACAGACGTTACAGACACAGACGTTACAGACACAGACGTTAGACACAGACGTTACAGACACAGACGTTACAGACACAGACGTTACAGACACAGACGTTACAGACAGACGTTACAGACACAGACGTTACAGACACAGACGTTACAGACACAGACGTTACAGACACAGACGTTACAGACAGACGTTACAGACACAGACGTTACAGACACAGACGTTAGACACAGACGTTAGACACAGACGTTACAGACACAGACGTTACAGACACGGACGTTACAGACAGACGTTACAGACACAGACGTTACAGACACAGACGTTACAGACACAGACGTTACAGACAGACGTTACAGACACAGACGTTACAGACAGACGTTACAGACACAGACGTTACAGACACAGACGTTACAGACACAGACGTTACAGACACAGACGTTACAGACACAGACGTTACAGACACAGACGTTACAGACACAGACGTTAGACACAGACATTACAGACACAGATGTTACAGACACAGACGTTACAGACACAGACGTTACAGACACAGACGTTACAGACACAGACGCCTCTGCACCAGTATTCTGTTTTGAACAACTAAAGAACATTACTATAAACTTTTCAGATCAAGTTTACAAAGTTCTAAAACATTATTTCTTTATTAAAAACTGTTTTGTTGCTTATGTTTAAATATTATATTATATATAATGTATATATATTATATATAATGTATATATATTATATATAATGTATATATATTATATATAATGTATATATATTATATATAATGTATATGTATTATATTATAGATAATGAATATTTAAGGTGTTCCTTTAGAGCACAGTGCAAAAAAATATTATATTATTAAGTATTAGTCATTGACTCAGCTCTATCTTAGACATCACACAAACATAGACTTTAGAGTTTGTAGAGTCTGAGCTTTCTCTCTGCAGACTGTTCCTACATGTGATGAAGTTAAAGGAGTCCTCAGAGGCCTAAACTACAGAGCTGCAGCTTCACCTGTTGCACTCAGACTCAGGTTAAATTAGAATTTATTCAGATTTTTCTCATTTTCTGCAGCGTTTACGACAAACGGCAAAAACAGAAAGAACGAGGCATTCGTGGAAATAGATCTGTCACAAACAAACCAGACGTTGTTTTTGCTAAAATGGTCCATTTCAAGTAATTCTAACTGGAAACATGCAGAAAATGACTATTATAAAGAATGAATGATACAAACTGTATTCTCCTCAGAGCCTTAAGCACAGACACAGAAACAGAGTCAGAGACAGAGACAGACAGATACAGAGGCAGGGACGAAGACAGAGACAGACAGATACAGAGGCAGAGAGAGAGAGAGACAAAGGCAGAGACAGAGAGACAGGGACAGAGAGAGAGGACAGAGACGGAGACAGAGGCAGGGACGAAGACAGAGACAGACAGAAACAGAGGCAGAGAGAGAGAGAGACAGGCCGAGACAGAGGACAGAGTAAGAGACATAGACAGAGGACAGAGTAAGAGACAGAGAGAACATTCAAAACCACATTAAAACCATTGTGTGCCGCAGCTGAGTTTGTTTCAGACGAGACTCTAAACGAGAGTAAAGTCTGTCATCTCAGTCTGTACCACTGCTCACATCTCAGTCTGTACCACTGCTCACATCTCAGTCTGTACCACTGCTCACTTTACAAAACCTTATAAAACCTGTTAACATTTAAAATAAATATGTTTTTGTTATAAACCAATTTATTATGTTTAAGTTGTTGTATTTAGATCATTGCAATAATAACATGTGTCATTATTATTGTTATTATATTTTTATTATAATTATTATTATTATTTTTTTTTTATTATAATATTATTATAATATTTTTATTATTATTATAGTATTATTATTTAGTATTATTATTATTATTTATTATTTTTATTATTACCCACACTCGGCTGTGATGATGATCGCAATTTAATAATAATCATTGTTTTATTATTATTACACAAACTTTGGTGAATTACGGCTTTTTTCTCGACAGATTTAATGATTAAACAAAATGTGGTTTAAAATGTTTTTAATAATAATGTTATTGTCTTTTAAACTACAACTGTTTTAACAATAATGTTATTGTTAATTGTTAATGTTATTAATTAATGTTAATGTTATTATTATTATTATTTATTATTTTTATTATTACCCACACTCGGCTGTGATGATGATCGCAATTTAATAATAATCATTGTTTTATTATTATTACACAAACTTTGGTGAATTACGGCTTTTTTCTCGACAGATTTAATGATTAAACAAAATGTGGTTTAAAATGTTTTTAATAATAATGTTATTGTCTTTTAAACTACGACTGTTTTAACAATAATGTTATTGTGTTGTGTTTTTAGTAAAGTAAACGTAGAGTCGACCTGTTGCTGTCGTACGGAGTTTGATCTTTTTAGGTCAATAAACCACAGTCACAGGTTTCTACTTTGTCTTTAATAAAGAATATTAAAAGAATAAACAGAGTAATAAAGAATAGTGAAGAACAAACAGAATGCTAAGATGTGCAGGAGCAGCAGGAGCTGCAGAGCGAGTCCTGAGAACCAGGAGTCGTTGAAGTGGATCTAACGCTCTCCGTGGCTCAGACCAGGATCCAAATAAGTGGATTAAATCTGATCAGCGACAATGGACCGTTTAAACACAATCTACTCAAACCAAACCCAATCTGCTCAAACCAAACCAAACCAAACCCAATCTGCTCAAACCAAACCACTATTTTAATGGTTGTTTCTGGTTTAGGGACAGATTCTTGGACGTCCTGAGGTTGGAACAGTTTTTAGGATCAAGTCCAAACATTTAGGACAAAAACTAAACTTTGGTTAAAAACTGTAGGAATAAAGTACATTTGAACATTTGAGTGTGTAATTGTTTATATAGAGTCTATATTTTAGTTATGAATAATAATGATCATATATAGTCTATATTTTAGTTATGAATAAAAAATGATCATATATAGTCTATATTTTAGTTGGACTGATAATGTCACAGCAGGTGCATCTCAGAAAACTGCACTTCTATTTCTATTTACGTATTCTGAGGCATAAAGTTAAAAACATTTAAAACGGTAGAAACGTCCATATGATGAGTTGAATCTACACTAATCTTCAGAACAACATCTTCACATAAATAAACAGGAGAAAGTTTGTAAAGTCGAGGCTGAAGCAGCACCAACCTGTGGACTCCATGTCGGGCTCCTCCAGGTCACAGTGCATCCTCATCCACCTGCTGCTGCCACACCACGGACACTCTGCCCCAGATCTGCCTCCGGGCTCTGCTCCCTCTGCTTCCTCTGCGTCCTCTGCAGCCGTCACTTCCAGATCTGGAGGCAGCGAGCAAAGAGGAGGTGCTGTCTGTGGGTGGGGGAGCAGAGAGGGGGAGCAGGGGGGAGTAGAGTCTCCAGAATCCGGCGGGGGCAAAGCCAGAGCCGTCAAAATGTTTGCTGATGTTTCATGGGAAAGGGGCTGATTTTATTGGAGCCCTGATGGGGGACCTGATGGGGGAACCTGATGGGGGGACCTGTCATGGATAGGCCTGGACGGCTGATGAATGGTGCGAGTCAGATGGGGATGTGGCAAGGCTCACTGGAAGTCTTTTGTGAGGCTGTTTTGAATAAGAAAGGCTCGCTCCCCACAAAAAAGAGAGAGAGACTTGGATCTACACAAGTCTAACACTGTGGCCTCCCCGTTTTCTTTTATGGCGTTAAATATGTTTTATACAGCGCCCAGTAAACACCCAGAGTCACTTCTCTGCTGTGTGAGCCTTCATACCCACTGCCAAAAATCTACTTCATTTGAACCAAACTCTAGACTTGTATCTCTCCAGGTCTTCGCACCAAACTTCCCAACACCGACACAAGTGTAAAGTAAGTGAACGCCAATCTCTCTTTGCAGAAGTTCTGGCCTCCTTTTTGGCGACTCTTTTTGGTTAAACTTATTTGGGTGAGATTCTGTAATGAAAAGCAAAGGGACTGGCCACAAAGGGGGGGAAGTGAGAGTGCAAAGCTGGGAGGGCTCTGATGGAGTGCCTGGGACTTTGAGAAGGGAAAGTTGTGATTAGAATATGAATGGGTCCACGGGAGAGGGGGGAGGAGAAAGGAGGATTATGGCTGAATTACTCGCAGCTCTATGGGATGCTATGGAGGAGGTTTTGGGGATGGTCAGTGCGCAGGCGTCGACACCCACGGCACATGGAGCAGAAGAAGAGGTTTAGACACAGTTTGATCCTTGTTTAAAGCTGCGAACTTTAAACCACCGGGAAATAAACTACATGAAATCTAACTCTGAACAGTTTGGCTTCGTCACTAGTTTTCACATGTACTAACAGTTACATGTTTAGATCAGGGGTTTTCAGACAGTGTTGGTCCAACTGGACTCGGCTGCATTTGACCCGAAAGACCACAACATTCTGCAGAGGATGTGTCATCACTCAGACAAACAGTTCTGGTTTAAATCCTATTTATCGGACCAAAACCACTTTGTCAAAATGAATCAAAACGCCTTATTCTAAAGTAAAATTAGGTGTGCCACAGGGATCTGTACTCGGACCAGAGTAGGAGGTGGAAGGAGGAGGTGGGAGGGCGCCCCAGAGAAAGTGTCGTTTCTGCTGTATCTTCTTCTTAGTGTGACATAAAGTACAGCAGGTGCAGGTTCAGCTTTTATTCCATGGTCTGTGAGAGCGAGAGAGAGAGAGAGGGGTCAGAGAGAGAGAGAGGTCAGAGAGAGAGAGAGGTCAGAGAGAGAGGGGTCAGAGAGAGAGAGAGGTCAGAGAGAGAGAGGGGTCAGAGAGAGATTCTCCACACGACAGGATCATAGACAGACTGTAGCTTTAGCTTCAGAGCTAACAGGAGGGTTTCTCTCCTGGGGGAGACCTCTCTGTGTGGAGTGAGTCAAAGGCGCTACATAAATAAAGTTGACTAACGTGACCACAGCAGGGGTTCTCTCCACACGAGTCTAAACTCTTCTGTTTCTCTGAACGAAGACCTCAAGTCGTAACTGAAAGAAACACTTTATTATTTTATTATTATTATTTACAAATACAGGAAACAAACATCCAGAAGATCCAGGTCTCGGTCGCTGACACCAGAGTCCGGAGTCCTGGGGGCCAGAGTCCGGGGGCCAGAGTCCGGGGGCCAGAGTCCGGGGGCCAGAGTCCGGGGGCCAGAGTCCGGGGGCCAGAGTCCGGGGGCCAGAGTCCGGGGGCCAGAGTCCGGGGGCCAGAGTCCGGGGTCCAAGTGACCCTGGTGATGTCACTCGTTGTATCGCGACAGTTTGAGGCGTGGGATGATGTTCATGGACTGCAGCTCCTGAAACAGGAGTTTACAGGCGTAGGGGATCCTCAGGGTCGAGACGTGGCACGAGGACGAGCAGTAGTGACACCTGTGGACACACAACATAATTATACACACAACAGTACACACACAACACAATTATACACACAACAGTACACACACAACACAATTATACACACAACAGTACACACAATACAATACAATTCACGCACAACACTGGATACTGTGTTGTGTGTGAATTGTATTGTATTGTTTTTAGTGTACCCAGTGTTTCCTCTGGAGGAGCCCTCTGCACCGGGAGCAGTGGTCGGTGTGGCTGCGGGGGTCGGACTCTTGGGCCTGGTGGGGGCCTGGGGCCTCTGTTTCATGTCTCCTCTGGGTCCTGTGTCGTCCCCTGTGGCTACGGGCGGCTCTCTGCTCCTGGTGCAGACGGCTCCTTGGATGACGCTTTTTCAGCTGGTTGCATCTGAACCCTGCCAAGTCTCTCATCATGGTTTTATTGTTTTACTGGTGTGTGTGTGTGTGTGTGTGTGTATGAGTGTTCATGAGCGCGTGTGTGTGTTTGTCTGTGGTTTGGGGTAGGGTCTGTTGGGTGGTGTGGGGGAGGGGTCTTGGGTGGGCGGGATTGTTTTTAACCAAACTGTAAAGCCTAGCGTACATCGACAGAGAAACTGGGGACAACTAGTTGCAAGGCGGCTTTTGGCAACTGAGAGGAGATGGTGGGAGATGATCAGTTGCCGAAATCGGTCGATGTGTGCGCTCTTACAACTGGAGATGATCAGTCGGTCTCCAGTTCCAGTCAGTTGCCCGTGTTCTACTTTTCGGCAACTAGTTGTCCTCAGTTGCCCCGATGTGCGCGCTCCATGCGCCGCTCCAACAACGTGCGTGTATTGCGAGCCCGCAACAGTTTGTTGTCAGAAAACACACTGTAGTTGAGGCCAGTTGCTGTCGATGTACGCGCTGTTATTCAAGAGACTGGCCTGCGACTCAGAGTTGCCCGTTTTCGCCAGATTGTCGATGTGTGCGGGGCAGCAACTCAGAGGCGACGGATATAATCAGTTGCCAGTCCGATGTACGCTAGGCTTTAAGCACTTTGTGTTGCATCTTATGTATGAAAAGCGCTTTATAAATAAAATTTGATTGATTGCTTGATTGATTGAACAAGTTCAAAAGAACGCGTTCATTGAACACGCCAATTTTTTCGTGAACGTTGAGCTGAACGCAACAAATTTTTTAATAAAGAACTTGAACGTGAATTAGTTCATATTATGTGTCATGAACGGCAGAACAGAATTTGTTTTCCATTGAAAACTGAGTGAAATCTGTTTTCTCTTTTGAAACGCAACGAGAGAAAGTTCCTCCCTCCTGTATTCTCCGCACTGTTTCCGCCGAAAACTAAAAATTCCTACGGTTTCCACCGTCTGTGAACGCACCCCAACTCAGTGTACTACTTGCGGTGCGGCGCTGAATGCTAGTGCTATTCATTGGTTGTTGGACTCACATGTGCCGTGATGAAAACACAGGGGTAAGTCAGTGACACAGGGCCGTTTACATTTGACATAAAGTATAGACAAACGTTCTGCAGCGCATTACAATTTGTAGTACTTACAGTATGAGCAGAGATGGGACAACTCAGTTCCCATTGAAACCCATGTAAATCTTGTCTGCATTGGAGTCAAAACATCCTGTGTAGTGTACAGGAGAGATTATATACACACATATACCATGTATAGTGATTTCTAGCTCGTAGTGAAAAAAAAGTATTTAATTGAATATCTCTCGCAAAAAGTAAAATTAACTGAACTTTAGTTTGAACTAGTTCAGAAATAAAATTGTGAACTTTGAACGTGAACTGTTCACTTTGAGCATGTGTGAACTGAACTTAAACTAGTTCAGAAAAGTTGTGAACTGGCACAACACTGACAGTGTCACAAACAACAAAGGAATGCTGCACACTTTCTGCTTGGAGCACAGCTTCAGTGACAGATCAATCCACCCTCTTGTTAAGGAGAGGTTCTGTAAGTCGCTCCTGATGCTGACATACTGTACAATGAGGACTGCTGAGTCTGTCAATAGTAAATACTGCAGCTCAGGAAAGCCAAGCTGCCTGCACAGATGTTGGTGCAGTTCTACACGGCCATCATCGAGTCCATCCTCACCTCCTCCATCACCTCCTCCATCACCTCCTCCATCACCTCCTCCATCACCTCCTCCGTCACCGTGTGGTTCGCTGGAGCCACAGTCAGGGACAAACAGAGACTACAGCGCATTGTGCGCTCTGCAGAGGAAGTGATTGGCCGCAGCCTTCCATCGCTGCAGGACCTGTACGTCGCCCGAGCTCGAGGCCGGGCTGGTCGTATCACAGCCGACCCCTCTCACCCTGCACATGGACTATTCCATCCACTCCCCTCAGGCAGGAGGCTGCGGTCCATCAGGACTAGAACCTCCCGCCACAAGAACAGTTTCTTCCCCTCTGCTGTTGGACTCTTGAACACTTCTTAACCTGTGCCCCCGCCCTTTATAAAGTCACTTTACTGCCCATCATACGTCACTTTACTTCACTGTACTGCTGTCACCTTACATTGTGTGCACCATGTGCACTTGTATATTGTAAATAGTAACTGTAACTCTATTTTAAATTTATTCCTTAGAAGTGTTTTTTATTCTTTATTTTTTATTATCTCTTTCTGACTGTTGCACTGAGCCAAAGCAATTTCCAAGTCTATGACTTCCTGTTACTTACGTGGCAATAAAAATTATTCTGATTCTGATGTACAAAACTGTGTTTCAGATTTATCTACTGCATTTATATCTATGGCCATATTACTAACGTCGCTGATAACTGTACGTACAAGTTAGACTGTAGTACTGACCAGCCGGAGTAGCAGTAGCAGCAGCAATAGCAGTAGTAGCAGCAGTAGCAGTAGTAGTCGTAGCAGTAGCAGCAGTATCAGTATCAGTAGTACTAGTAGTAGCAGTAGCAGCAGTAGTAGCAGTAGTAGTAGTACTAGTAGCAGCAGCAGTAGTAGCAGCAGTAGTACTAGTAGCAGCAGCAGCAGCAGCAGCAGTAGTACTAGTAGCAGCAGTACTAACCAGCCGGAGTATCCCAGAAGGCCACACTGTCCGCAGACGTCGACCTCGAAGGCGTCGCTGGAGATCATGAGTCTCTCCAACAGTAACATACTGGCTCCGTACCCGATCAAACAGTCTCTCTCCATCTCCCCCAGACGCAGACCCCCGTCTCTGGAGCGGCCCTCGGTGGGCTGCCTGCAGGAGAAACACTGGGTCAGGACCAGAGGCACCTGTTGTAATATTTATTATAGTAGGAGGGCTAACCACTCAGCAAATGGACCTCACAGTGACACACACTGAAGTCGGACATTTATTAAAGAGAATAAACAGAACAGAGACACTAGTGCTATTGCTAATCACTATTAGCTTTGTCTTCTGCTTTACTAATCTAAGCTATGCTAAGCTAAGGCTAAGGCTAAGGCACTTGTTACAGCACCCATTACTTGTTCATCCTCAAACCTCAAAGAGGAAGTTATATTATAGTAAAGACCATGAACCTGATCATCATTAATAATAATGATAATAATAATAATATAATCATTAGCGTTACCTGGTGAGGACGGCCCTCGGGCCCCGGGCTCTGGCGTGCATCTTGTCCAGAACCATGTGTTTCAGTTTCTGGTAATAGATCGGTCCAAAGTAAATGTAGGCTTCAAGTGGCTCCCTGAAGGAAACACACATTTAACACACATTTAAACACACATTTAAAAACACATTTAACACACATTTAAACACACATTTAACACACACGTAAACAATGCTACAGCAGTATTCTAGTGCACAGGAGCAGACACAAGTGCAGATACAGGAGCAGAGGTGCAGATACAGGAGCAGAGGTGCAGACACAGGAGCAGACACACATTTGCTAGACACAGGAGCAGAGGTGCGGACACAGGTGCAGACACAGGAGTAGAAGTGCAGATACAGGAGCAGGCACAGGAGCAGAGGTGCAGACACCTGTGCAGACACAAGTACACACAGAGGTACAGACACAGGTGTTTTACCCTGTGATCCCAGATGTGACGTAGTCCTTGCCCTGATAGTTGTATCCATAGCGAATCAGATCCTCGCACACGTCCTTCACTTTACTTCCGCCGAACGCCGTGCCGTAGTGGAAGCGGCCGTCCAGGACCCCCGCCTTTCCAGCCAACAGTTCTATCAGTTTGCCCACCTACAGAATAAAGAGATGAGAATCCTCAGGCTGTAATCTTAATTCCATTGTAGGGTTGGATTGTGAGAGGTGCTGGACACAGGATGATGTAAGGTTGACTGATCTGAGGCCACCTCTGACCTCACATAAAAGGAAACACCTCAGAGGCGCCGCTGGAGACAAACATTTCACAGCCTTCTCCATGACGACCACCGCAAACACAGCCGTAAACACAGCCGTAAACATCCTCAGACACTCGTCTGAGCTACAGCCGACGTCTCCACAGCAACATGTATGTTAGAGAACACAGACGTGTGCTTAGCCCTGTCACTACGCGTGTGAGAGAGGAGGGAGAGAGGGAGGAGAGATAGGAGAGAGAGGGGGGAGAGGAGAGCGAAAGGGGGAAGAGTTGTAGCCTTGCTTTAGTGTTCTTTACCGTCATCCTGGACGGGTATCCGTGAGGGTTCATGATGATGTCGGGACAGATCCCTGTGTCACAGAACGGCATGTCCTCCTGCGGTACGATGAGGCCACACACACCTGAGCACAGGGACAGAGACACACCTGAGCACAGGGACATGAGGGTACATGTTTTTAGTGGGAGGGGAAACCGGAGCAGCCAGGAGAAAACCTCCGCAGACATGGGAGAACATGCAAACTCCACAGTTGCAGTTGTCAGATTTATGAAAATTTCTAGTCCAATGTCTGTGTTTGAACAGTTTGATTCTCTGATCTGCTGTTGGTGAATCCACAACTGTGTAAAGTCTGTAGAGTTCTACAGAATCCATGGAACAGACTGAAGCAGAAAGAGCCAATACACACACGGCTGTGGAGCAGCTGTGGAGCAGGTCACATGACCCCCTTTCTACAGACTCAGGGTCAATGTTTGTGGAGCCTCAGCAAACACATTCTACAACAATTTACAAATGAAGAGAAAAGAATGAGAGCTTCCTGCTCAGAGGTGAACCTGCTGAGATTACAGACCACAGCTTTAGTCTGGGGAGAGGAGGGAGAGGAGAGAGGAGGGAGGAGTGAGAGGAGAGAGGATGGAGAGGAGAGAGGAGGGAGGAGAGAGGAGGGAGGAGAGAGGGGAGGAGAGAGGAGGGAGGAGAGAGGAGGAGATGAGGGAGGGAAACACGAGCAGACGACCAGGAGGCGCTGGACCAGTGCAGCCTCTGCAAAGAAGGACTTTATAAAAAGTTCATCACAGTCAAAAAACAATAACATTTGAAGTAAATACTTTGATGAAGTTGTTAGGGCCTTTTCTTGTCCATATTATAAATCTGAAAGACTGAGTGTAATAAAGTCCTTCCTACATCACACACATATCTGGACCTGTGTCACATGAATGTTTTAGTGAAGCAGCAGCAGATCCAGAGCCTTCTCAGACTCTTGTTTGTTTTGTGTGAAAGTGAATGATAAAAGAGCCATGAAATCAGAGAGAAAGGAAAGACAACAGGGCCCTACATCACGCTGCTCCACTGAGGCTCTCACAAAGGGCCCCAGCTCCACCCTCCAGCCCCCTCCACCTCCAGTAGCAGCAGTAGTAGCAGCAGCAGCAGGTTAATCAGTGACTTCTCTGACACTTGGAGCCAAATCACTTTTTGTGTTCACAGTAAAGTGTTAAAGTATCTGGACTTTAAAAGGTTATAACTGAAAACTATCATACACTGGACAAAAAGATTTGCAAACGATAGTTTGGATAAAACCTAAAAGGAAAAATTGACAAATACAAATACTTTTTTGACAAAATGTTAAAAGATCAGCCTCTGATTGGATCATTCTGTGACTCAGGGATAGAAAATAAAAAGCTGAGAAAGCGGTGGATGAAGATTAACATTAACAAAACATCATGGTGCAACAACGACCTGCCCCCCCATCTACACCTGCGGACTGCCCCCAATACCATGTGGTCTCTCCCTATGGCCCAATACCATGTGGTCTCTCTCTATGGTCCAATAACATGTGGTCTCTCTCTATGGTCCAATAACATGTGGTCTCTCCCTATGGCCCAATACCATGTGGTCTCTCCCTATGGCCCAATACCATGTGGTCTCTCCCTATGGCCCAATACCATGTGGTCTCTCCCTATGGCCCAATACCATGTGGTCTCTCCCTATGGCCCAATACCATGTGGTCTCTCCCTATGGTCCAATACCATGTGGTCACTCCCTATGGTCCAATACCATGTGGTCACTCCCTATGGTCCTATACCATGTGGTCTCTCTCTATGGTCCTATACCATGTGGTCTCTATGGTCCAATACCATGTGGTCTCCCTCTATGGTCCAATACCATGTGGTCACTCCCTATGGTCCAATACCATGTGGTCTCTCCCTATGGTCCAATACCATGTGGTTACTCCCTATGGTCCAATACCATGTGGTCACTCCCTATGGTCCTATACCATGTGGTCTCTATGGTCCAATACCATGTGGTCTCTCTCTATGGTCCAATACCATGTGGTCACTTCCTATGGTCCAATACCATGTGTGTTAACTGCTTTGTAAAGTCTCTGCGAAACTGTTGTGATTTAGGACGATACAAGAATAAAGTTAATTGAATTCAAAGCAGTTTCGACTTCTACGCTTCAAAAAAAACCGAGACACGAGTCCCAGACACAGAGAGGTTCTGTTCAGCAGGTCCAGGACACACATATCAGACCTGTCCCCCTGACCTCTCACTGACCGCAGTTTCACCTTCGGCTGAGGCTCCGCCCCCTGCAGTGGCGCCTGCAGGGGGCGGAGTCAAGCAACAATACACGCTGTAAACACTTTATTCTGATGTTAAGACACTGATGGGAGGAAGACATTTGTCTGCTAGAGGACAAAGGGACTCTGGAAACATGAGCACAGGGGACAGAGACAGAAGCAGAGACAGAAGCAGAGGCAGAAGCAGACAGAGGCAGAGGCAGAGGCAGAGACAGAGGCAGAGACAGAGGCAGAGGCAGAGGTATACACAGAGACAGAAAGCCCGGTTAAAGTGGGCCAGGGCCCACTTCGCGGTTTGATCCGGGCTTTAGGTCCCATGTGACCGCGGCAATCGCGCTTGAGCACGATTGCAGGAATTGTGCTCAAGCGCGGGTAAAAACTTTGTCTAGGGCACACTTTGCAGCGCGGATGAGGGGGGTCAGTGTTGCGGGTGGTGGGGAGTGGGGGATGAGGTGTGGTGGGGACATGATATTGTGCGTCACATTACGTCTTCCTGTGACGGGCATTTTCACACACGTCTCTCCTGCACTTTCGTATTCTCCGCTTGTGTTAAACCTGTCATATAAGCCCCGGACCGTGGTCGGGGGGCGCGGGGGAGTGTGTGGCTGCAGGGCCAAAGGGAAGCGTATCCTGCGGGAATAACTCCCTTCTGTCCTGACCCTCGCTCTCAGTGTGTTGCTATTGCAATAACACTTCAGACATTCAAGAATCAATCTTTATTTAATTGCCAGAACACACACACACTTATATCCTCCGGCTCCGGTCACTCTGCTCCGGTCGCTGCTTACTATAAAAGCGCTCTCCTGTGTCTGCGGCGCGCCCACACACACAGATAACACACACGTGTCCCACCGCTGCATTTTGGGGAAAGACATATCTCACACTTGTTCACGCGTTGCATGCTCGAGCATGCTCGCTGCAGTAGCAGAATATAAACAGGAAGAGAAGCGGTAACTCAACTTGGACAACGGGGTAGTCGCTGGAGTTAGTATTAGTGCCACCAGCTGGACCAAACGTTTTACTACAGCACAGTTTCTCTGGCACAATTCAGAGGACACGTTCATGTGACCGCGGGCCATTTTCACAGCCCTGTGGCAACGATCTGGGCCACTTGGCCCAGTTCGTTTGTAAAAACCTATGTGACCGTGCCCAGAGACAGAGGCAGAGGCAGAGACAGAGACAGAGACAGACAGAGAGGACAGGCTTGTCCTTTGTCTGTTTGAACAGTTTAATTCTCTGATCTGCTGTTGAGGAATTGACAACTTTGTAAAGTCCTTGGAGACGACAGCTGCTGATTTAGGGCGATACACAAAATGCAGAACATCCAAATATACTGCAGTATCATGGGCCACAGTGGGACAGAGTATGTACAGGTTCTTGCGAAAGTATTTGGCCCCCTTGAACCTTTCAACATTTTGCGATATTTCAGGTTTCAAACATAAAGAACTCATGAATTAACAACAAGTGGGACACAATCGTGAAGTGGAACAAAATTTGTTGGATAATTTACACTTTTTCAACAAATAAAAAACTGAAAAGTGGGGCGTGCCATATTATTCGGCCCCTTTACTTTCAGTGAAGCGAACTCACTCCAGAAGTTCAGTGAGGATCTTTGAATGATCCAATGTTGTCCTAAATGACTGATGATGATAAATAGAATGCACCTGTGTGTAATCAAGTCTCCGTATAAATGCACCTGCTCTTTGATAGTCTCAGGGTTCTGTTTAAAGCGCAGAGAGAACCAAAGGAACACACCAGGCAGGTCCGAGATACTGTTGTGGAGAAGTTTAAAGCCGGATTTGGATACAAAAAGATTTCCCAAGCTTTAAACATCTCAAGGAGCACTGTGCAAGCAATTATATTGAAATGGAAGGAGTATCAGACCACTGCAAATCTACCAAGACTCGACCGTCCCTCCAAACGTTCATCTCAAACAAGGAGAAGACTGATCAGAGATGCAGCCAAGAGGCCCATGATCACTCTGGATGAACTGCAGATAACTACAGCTGAGGTGGGAGAGTCTGTCTATAGGACAACAATCAGTCGTGCACTGCACAAATCTGGCCTTTATGGAAGAGTGGCAAGAAGAAAGCCATTTCTCAAAGATATCCATAAAAAGTCTCGTTTAAAGTTTGCCACAAGCCACCTGGGAGACACACCAAACATGTGGAAGAAGGTGCTCTGGTCAGATGAAACCAAAATCGAACTTTTTGGCCACATTGCAAAACGATATGTTTGGCGTAAAAGCAACACAGCTCATCACCCTGAACACACCATCCCCACTGTCAAACATGGTGGTGGCAGCATCATGCTTTGGGCCTGCTTTTCTTCAGCAGGGACAGGGAAGATGGCTAAAATTGATGGGAAGATGGATGGAGCCAAATACAGGACCATTCTGAAAGAAAACCTGTTGGAGTCTGCAAAAGACCTGAGACTGGGACGGAGATTTATTTTCCAACAGGACAATGATCCAAAACATAAAGCCAAATCTACAATGGAATGGTTCACAAATAGACGTATCCAGGTGTTAGAATGGCCAAGTCAAAGTCCAGACCTGAATCCAATCGAGAATCTGTGGAAAGAGCTGAAGATTGCTGTTCACAAACGCTCTCCATCCAACCTCACTGAGCTCGAGCTGTTTTGCAAGGAAGAATGGGCAAGAATTCCAGTCTCTCGATGTGCAAAACTGATAGAGACATACCCCAAGCGACTTGCAGCTGTAAATGCAGCAAAAGGTGGCACTACAAAGTATTAGTGCAAGGGGGCCGAATAATATTGCACGCCCCACTTTTCAGTTTTTTATTTGTTAAAAAAGTTGAAATTATCCAATAAATTTTGTTCCACTTCACGATTGTGTCCCACTTTTTGTTGATTCTAAAAAAAATTTTTTTTTAAATTTGTATATCTTTATGTTTGAAGCCTGAAATGTGGCGAAATGTTGAAAGGTTCAAGGGGGCCGAATACATTTGCAAGGCACTGTATAATGCATTTAGGACATATAAATATATAAATATAGTTAAACCTTTCTGTCCATGTCTGCTGCTGAACTTGTCTCCGATCTCTGGGCGTCTGGTTTGACGAAGGAGGATCTTTATGAGAAAAGCATCCTCAGCGTTGGACGAGATCATCACTTTCTCTATGTACGAGTCTGTGGATCCTTTATAACTGAAAACACAGTCAGGGTTAGAGGAGGAGGCGCAGAGGAGGAGGCGCAGAGGAGGAGGCGCAGAGGAGGAGACGAAGAGTCTGTAGATCCTTTATAACTGAAAACACAGTCAGGGTTAGAGGAGGAGGCGCAGAGGAGGAGACGCAGAGTCTGTTGATCCTTTATAACTGAAAACACTGTCAGGTTTAGAGGAGGAGGCGCAGAGGAGGAGACGAAGAGTCTGTAGATCCTTTATAACTGAAAACACAGTCAGGGTTAGAGGAGGAGGCGCAGAGGAGGAGACGAAGAGTCTGTAGATCCTTTATAACTGAAAACACAGTCAGGGTTAGAGGAGGAGGCGCAGAGGAGGAGACGAAGAGTCTGTAGATCCTTTATAACTGAAAACACAGTCAGGGTTAGAGGAGGAGGCGCAGAGTCTGTGGATCTTTTATAACTGAAAACACAGAGTCAGGGTTTGAAGAGGAGGTGCAGAGAAGGAGACGAAGAGGAGAAGCAGAGACGGAGAGACGCAGAGGAGACGCAGAGGAGGAGATGAGGAGGAGACTCAGAACCTCAGTGTGAGATCAGACCTGATGGGGACGTCTCTGTACTGGGGCTGTCCAGGCTGAGTGGCGCCCTCCAGTGGTGTCTGTGTGACTGTGGGCATCGACTTATTCACCAACGTCTGTTTGTTCTCCACCTTCTCACCTGGACAGTGGACACACACACATACAGAGACACACACAGAGACACACACACACATACAGAGACACACACACACACACACACACAGAGAGACAGACACAATAGAATATTATAGTGACTGTTTATGTTAGAAATATTTTTTTAAATAATAACACCTGTAACACTTTCCACTAAAGCTGATGTATCCAACGAATGACACCTGGTCTCTCTCCCTCTCTCTCCCTCATCCCCCCCCCCCCTCTCGCTATCTCCCCCTCCTCTCCCTCTCCCCTCCCCCTCCGCTCCCTCTCCCCTCCCCCTCCGCTGCCCCCCTCACCCGGGGAGCAGATCCCGTCAGCATCCAGGATGTTGTGTTTCCAGATGGGTTTGCGAGTTGTGGCGTCGAGCATCGGCCCCATGACTTTGTCGAAGGTTTGGTTTGTGTAACGTCTGAGAGTGCACTTGGTGTTTTTGTAGACGAGACAGCGGCCAAACCCTGAGGAGATCAGAATAATCAGAATAATCATATATATGATATATATATATATATATATATAAATATATATATAATAAAGGCGCTGACCTCGGTCCAGCGAGGCCTTGTTGAGGACCAGAGCATCCTCTATGTCGTAGCCGCTGTAGCTCATCACAGCCACCGTGGCGTTCTGACCGGCGGGCAGCTTCTCAAAGTCGATCAGTTCGATGGTTTTGGTTTTAACCATGGGTCTCATGGGGTAGGCCAGCAGGTACATCAGGGTGTCGATGCGGTTCCTCTGGTTGTAGCCGATCGTTCCTTCATGAAGAGAAACATCTGAATACCAGCTTTACATCTCTTCACATCACAGGTTTGTTTTTATACACTTCTGTTTGATTCTGATCTGCTGATGGTAAATCTTGTAAAGTTGTGATTTAGGGACATTCAAATAGAAATTGTAAAAAAGTGGTTTAGTAAATGCCAATAAACAATGAACAAACAGAGTAAAATGAGACAGGTCTAAACAAGTTTAGGGTTAGATACAGATAATCTGGCTACAGCCATCGCGGCTCACATTAGCATCTGTAAAGGACAGAAGTTACTGGCCCAGATATGGTTCCAGTCTGTGTGTTTGTAAAGACCAGAGCAAGGTGGGAGGAGGCAGACGCTCTTCCCAATGTTGGAGAAAGGGGAAGTTTTGTTAGCAGGATCCGCGGGTCTCTCCTCTGGTTCCGCAGCTGAGCACACTAACCCCCCAGAAACAGCACAATGAATGGCTAATGACACTCTGGGTGACTGGCAGCAAAGGGCCTCCGCACACAGAGGCACAAAGGGGCGACCTGCCTGGGCTCCCCATGTTTGATGTCCATACAAGTGTTAGCGCTCATGGTTTATCCTGGTCACATTTTTACATTTCAGAAGCTTTCATTCTGTGGACGCTCGACTGCTGTGAACATCTGTGTTTGGAAGAATTAGGAGTGAAACAATAGATTCTGAAAGGATAAGAAACATGCAAAGGAATAGTCTATGACCCTGGGATCATTTGTAAGAATTAGAATCTAAATGGTTTAAACAGAAAAATTATAAAAACGTCCATTTTCCAATTATACAGAATTCTCAGACATGTGAGAAATCACTGAGCAGTTCACTGTGGAAGGGAATTCTAATGATCTACAGTCTCAGTCCTAGGTCTACAGACTCAGTTCTGGGTCCTGGGTCTACAGCCTCAGGCCTGGGTCTACAGCCTCAGTCTGTGTCTTACCCATGGCCTGTTTCCCCATGGCACACTGGTACGTGTTTCTGGGAGACTGGTTGTGGTGAGGGTAAGGGATGAGACCAGCGCAGACTCCAAGTAAAGTGAAGGGTTCGATCTCCAAGTGTGTGGTGTCCCTGCGACAGTGAGACACATTTACAACCAGCTGAAGGTGAATGAATGAACCTCAGGAGGAACTCACTTGTAAATCATGTGTTCATACACCGCCACCTGACAGTCGTTCTCCTCGTTCACATCCAAGTACTCCACCAACCCCTCGTGGAGGAAGTCTTCAAACGTTCTGGAGACAAAATGACACAACGTTAGCTGCTTCTCTCACCTGTAACCCTGGGACAGACTCTCTCACCTGTAACCCTGGGACAGACTCTCTCACCTGTAACCCTGGGACAGACTCTCTCACCTGTAACCCTGAGACAGACTCTCTCACCTGTAACCCTGAGACAGACTCTCTCACCTGTAGCCCTGAGACAGACTTTCTCACCTGTAGCCCTGAGACAGACTCTCTCACCTGTAACCCTGAGACAGACTCTCTCACCTGTAACCCTGAGACAGACTCTCTCACCTGTAACCCTGAGACAGACTTTCTCACCTGTAGCCCTGAGACAGACTTTCTCACCTGTAACCCTGAGACAGACTCTCTCACCTGTAGCCCTGAGACAGACTTTCTCACCTGTAGCCCTGAGACAGACTCTCTCACCTGTAACCCTGAGACAGACTCTCTCACCTGTAGCCCTGAGACAGACTCTCTCACCTATAACCCTGAGACAGACTTTCTCACCTGTAACCCTGAGACAGACTCTCTCACCTGTAACCCTGAGACAGACTCTCTCACCTATAACCCTGAGACAGACTCTCTCACCTGTAACCCTGAGACAGACTCTCTCACCTGTAGCCCTGAGACAGACTTTCTCACCTGTAGCCCTGAGACAGACTCTCTCACCTGTAACCCTGAGACAGACTCTCTCACCTGTAACCCTGAGACAGACTCTCTCACCTGTAGCCCTGAGACAGACTTTCTCACCTGTAGCCCTGAGACAGACTCTCTCACCTGTAGCCCTGAGACAGACTCTCTCACCTATAACCCTGAGACAGACTCTCTCACCTGTAACCCTGAGACAGACTCTCTCACCTGTAACCCTGAGACAGACTCTCTCACCTGTAGCCCTGAGACAGACTTTCTCACCTGTAACCCTGAGACAGACTCTCTCACCTGTAGCCCTGAGACAGACTTTCTCACCTGTAACCCTGAGACAGACTCTCTCACCTGTAGCCCTGAGACAGACTTTCTCACCTGTAGCCCTGAGACAGACTTTCTCACCTGTAACCCTGAGACAGACTCTCTCACCTGTGGCCCTGAGACAGACTCTCTCACCTGTAACCCTGAGACAGACTCTCACCTGTAGCCCTGAGACAGACTTTCTCACCTGTAACCCTGAGACAGACTCTCTCACCTGTAGCCCTGAGACAGACTTTCTCACCTGTAACCCTGAGACAGACTTTCTCACCTGTAGCCCTGAGACAGACTCTCTCACCTGTAACCCTGAGACAGACTCTCTCACCTATAACCTTGAGACAGACTTTCTCACCTGTAACCCTGAGACAGACTCTCTCACCTGTAACCCTGAGACAGACTTTCTCACCTGTAACCCTGAGACAGACTCTCTCACCTGTAACCCTGAGACAGACTTTCTCACCTGTAACCCTGAGACAGACTCTCTCACCTGTAGCCCTGAGACAGATCTTCCATGTGCTTGTCCTTGACCATGGGTTGTCCTTTCTTGACAATGATGTAAGGTCTGTCCAAAACAAACAAAGAAACATGAATCCATGGTGTTGTTCGCTACAGACAGACTTTAGAACCCAAGGAGTGTCTCTCTCACACAGGTTCTCTCACAAGTTCTCTCACAAGTTCTCTCACAGGTTCTCTCACCGGTTCTCTCACCGGTTCTCTCACCTGCAGAGGCGGCCCCCGTCAGAGGAGATGTAGACGCAGCGGTCGGTGCGGTTGGTGGAGATAGAAACAAACTCGTTGATGAATCCCGCTCTGCGCATTAACCTGAAGGTGCTGACCAGCTTCCTGTGGTCCTGGATCACTCCCAGGATGTTACCTGTAGGGGGCAGTGTGGGGCACATCAGTCTGTATGTATTATAACTACACTATCTTTGCAGGGCAGGGCCTAGTTAGTACTCTGGGAACACCAGGTGCCACATTGGGGTTGCTGCGGCTGTATAGTGCCAAACTGTGGTTGTGTCCTTAGGCAAGACACTTCCCCCACATTAGAATGAGTCTGGTGTGTGTGTGAATGGTTGGAATTTAATCCAGGAATTGTGCTGTACAAATGTGCCCTCAATATTCTGACAAAGTATACACATCAACTATGTACTATGTGTCATAGTACACATAGTACATATTATAGTACACATAGTAAACATAGTACACAGAGAAAACGTAATACACATGGAGTACACATTATAGTACACATAGTAAACACAGTACATAGAGAAAACATAGTACACAGAGTACACAGAGGTGGGCTCTACAGCAGTAAGACGCAGCTCGTGTCCAGAGAAAGACAAAGAGGAGCCTCTGAGAACACGCTGGCTCTGAAGGGCTTTGACACCTGCTGCTGCAGACTAATTAAAAGCTATGACAGCTAATATAATTTGACAGTTATCAGAGGCCACACAAACATGTGCCGTAATTAAGGAGCAACTTCTGACTAAAAAATAATACGGTCATAAATGAATACGTTATCAGCTTAGCAGCACAACACCAAACATTATATTTCACTCATGTTCAGGCGCCAGGCGTTCCAAACACAAAGGATTAAACCTCTTTCAAGTGATCTGAAGTCCGAGACCAGCAGGGACCTGTCTCTCTGTCCCAGCACCAGGACCTGTCTCTCTGTCCGAGACCAAGACCTGTCTCTCTGTCCGAGACCAGGACCTGTCTCTCTGTCCCAGCATCAGAACCTGTCTCTCTGTCCGAGACCAGCAGGGACCTTTCTCTCTGTCCGAGACCAGGACCTGTCTCTCTGTCCGAGATCAGGACCTGTCTCTCTGTCCGAGCACCAGGACCTGTCTCTCTGTCCGAGCACCAGGACCTGTCTCTCTGTCCGAGCACCAGGACCTGTCTCTCTGTCCGAGCACCAGGACCTGTCTCTCTGTCCGAGCACCAGGACCTGTTTCTCTGTCCGAGCACCAGGACCTGTCTCTCTGTCCAAGACCAGGACCTGTCTCTCTGTCCAAGATCAGGACCTGTCTCTCTGTCCAAGATCAGGACCTGTCTCTCTGTCGCAGCACTAGGACCTGTGTCTCTGTCGCAGCACTAGGACCTGTCTCTCTTGGTCATATGGTTCTTACACACTGTTCTTACCGTTGAGGAAGACCAGGAAGACGCTGGGGTAGGACAGCTCCTCTCCACAAAGCAGGTTGACGTCCTCCACCCCGAGGTTAAAGGCCAGTTTGATGATGGGAGCGTCCTCCATGTCTGTGGTGATGTGTGTCATCAACGCTAAGTTCTTCACTAAACCACAAGCCTGAAACCAGAGGCTTTATAGTCATCTTTGTACGAGACAGGAAGCCACAGCAGGAAGTCACGACAGGAAGTCACGACAGGAAGTCACAGCAGGAAGTCACAGCAGGAAGTCACAGCAGAAAGTCACGACAGGAAGTCACGACAGGAAGTCACGACAGGAAGTCACAGCAGGAAGTCACAGCAGGAAGTCACAGCAGAAATTCACGACAGGAAGTCACAGCAGGAAGTCACGACAGGAAGTCACGACAGGAAGTCACAGCAGGAAGTCACAGCAGGAAGTCACAGCAGAAAGTCACGACAGGAAGTCACAGCAGGAAGTCACGACAGGAAGTCACGACAGGAAGTCACGACAGGAAGTCACGACAGGAAGTCACAACAAATGAAAGGGGACAAGTGATAAGTGAACTGAGGTAAGAGAGTAGGAAGTGGAACAGTCCACCTGTTCCAGTACCTCTCCCTCAGGAGTGTGTGTGTGTGTGTGTTTGTTTGTGTGTGTACCTCTCCCTCAGGAGTGTCCGAAGGGCACAGCATTCCCCACTGTGACGGCTGCAGAGAGCGAGGGCCGCTGACCTTCCTGGTTTTCTCGAACTGAGACGAGATCCTGGTCATCATCCCCAGAGCAGAGATGAACGACAGACGAGACAGAACCTGCGTCACTCCCTGACGGTCCATCTTAAACCTCTTCAGAGACCAGTTTCCCTGAGGACAGATGTTAGGACCATCTTAAACCTCTTCAGACCAGTTTCCCTGAGGACAGATGTTAGGACCACCTTAAATCAGTGGTGATTCACCGTGGAGATGGCGTTGACCATGACTTACTGTGGAGATGGCGTGGACTCACTGTGGAGATGGCGTTGACCATGACTCACCGTGGAGATGGCGTTGACCATTCCGTTGGTAATCTGGTCCTGTCTCATGTGTTTGACGATATCGAACTGCGCCGCTCTCTGTTTGGGGATGATCTGGTCGGCGATCTTCTTCAGCTCGGAGTTAAATTTCTTAAACAGATCTTCAAACAGCAGCGACAGCAGCTGTATAGATACAGTTGCTTAGTATCAGAGTAAAGTACAGATTCAGGTGCTTAGTATCAGAGTAAAGTAACAGAGGACACAGGTGTTAGTACTTTACTCTGATACTAGAGTAACAGAGGACACAGGTGTTTGTACTTTACTCTGATACTAGAACAACAGAGTAACAATACTGTTGGTGAGAGTGTGGTGCTGGTAAACACATCTGGAGGATAAAGCAGAACGAGCAGCAGCGTGAGCAAACACCAAACAAACTGCGCTGCTTCTAATGAATAGAGAAAGCTTCTGTTGTGCCAATTAGCTGAATGTCAGGAACCATAATTGAAGAGTGAGGAGATTGCAGCGTTGTTAGTGTGTAAGCCCCTATTGAAGGCTGCCTGCTCCTCCTGCTCCTCCTGCGCCTCCTGCGCCTCCTGCTGCCACACACACACAGAGCAGGTCGGGGGGAAATGAAAGGCCTTAACACCGCAGTAATTACATTATCAGAGCTGCGCCGCGGATTAGCTCAATCGCTGCAGTCAAGGCTGCGCTTCTATTGTCAGGGGCTGAAAAGTCCCGTGTTCCTCAGCTTTGGATTTCACTGCCAACACATATCTGACTCTCACAAAGACTAAAATACACACCAAGGAGAGAGAAAGGGGAGAGCAAAACAAAACACAGCACAACAAAGCACAGGGGAAATAATGAGCGTTATTAAAGGGTGAAGCAGAACAAAGGTGCAGGTGAGAGCACAGGGTCTGCTGTCGCTCATTAAGAAGAATCAATTAAGCTTTGTTTGCTTTGTTTGCTACAGTCAACGACTTAAACACTTGGGTCTCAGACTCACAGTAAAGACTCTTTAGCAGGACTTATTATTATTATTATTATTATTATAATAACTTAATTGAAACAGGTTTGTTTTAAACCCATACTGTGTTCCTGCCATAGATAGTGCTGCTTTACTGTCCACAAAGAGGAGCACAGGGACTGGCCTCCTGCTGGGACTCTGCGGAGCACAGGGACTGGCCTCCTGCTGGGACTCTGCGGAGCACAGGGACTGGCCTCCTGCTGGGACTCTGCGGAGCACAGGGACTGGCCTCCTGCTGGGACTCTGCGGAGCACAGGGACTGGCCTCCTGCTGGGACTCTGCGGAGCACAGGGACTGGCCTCCTGCTGGGACTCTGCGGAGCACAGGGACTGGCCTCCTGCTGGGACTCTGCGGAGCACAGGGACTGGCCTCCTGCTGGGACTCTGCGGAGCACAGGGACTGGCCTCCTGCTGGGACTCTGCGGAGCACAGGGACTGGCCTCCTGCTGGGACTCTGCGGAGCACAGGGACTGGCCTCCTGCTGGTCCCAGAGTCAGGACTTGACATGAGGAGGCAGCGTTTCAGATTCATGCTAAAACCTTGAACAGTCTTCCTGAAAATGTGAGACAGGCTTCTTCTCTGACGATGTTCACATCCAGCCCTTGGGTCAAAATGACTCGCTCCAGAGAGTAAAAGTACATTAGGGTCTTAAAGAGTCTAAAGTGAAGAACTGTGTCTTGACTCTTCTACAGTTGTGTGGTCTTATGTATTGTTCCTAAACTGTGCTATACAATAAACTATGATGCGTACCTGTCCCGCCAGCTCCAGACGCTTGTTCCCGTAGTAGTCTCTGTCGTCCACTTTGTTGTCTCCCTGAGCCAGGATCACCCTCCGCACCATCACGGCCAGATAGATGCACTTAGCTCTGAAGTTAAACTCTTTCACCTGAGAGAGACATAGTTTAGTGTGTGTGTGTGTTTATGTGTGTCTGTGTGTCTCTGTGTGTCTGTGTGTATGTGTGATGTCACACACCGGCACGTGTGTGAGGATCAGAGAGGCCAGTAGTTCTCGTGCCTCCTCCATCTTGGTTTTCTTGGGACCTCCCCACATTCTCTGTCGCCGCACTTTGTTTCCCAGATATCGTAGCGCCTGAAAACAACAGAGGTTGGAGACGTCTCTGTGGACACGATACAGATCCTCTCTGTGGTCCTCTCCGTTAGAGGACCACAGAGAGAGGACCACAGAGAGAGGACCACAGAGAGAGGACCACAGAGAGGACCACAGAAAGAGGACCACAGAGGACCACAGAGAGGACCACAGAGAGGACCACAGAGAGGACCACAGAGAGGACCACAGAGGACCACAGAGAGGACCACAGAGAGTTGTTGTTGTTGCCATAAATCTTCATCTCAGTGTTCATTGTAAAGGAGGTATAAATATTCATATAGATTGAATTCTACCTTTATAAATGCATTTTTTGTAGCCTACCCCACGCCTATAAGATATATCTATCTTATAAATGTCCGTGGACCCAGAAATGTATGTGTCAGAAGAACTACCCCCTCAAAAACAATCATAATTCATAAAAGGGTCTCTACAGTATCTCCTTTTCTAGGAAATTTACAGCGATTTTCATGAAAGTTTCCGATCTTTTGCTTAGGATATCTCAGGGGCAAAAGCTGGTAGAAACGGTTTTCACCATCTGAAAGTTCAAAGCCTCACCTTTCAAACGCGTTATAGCATGTGATTATGACAGAAACACAGAATATGCCTTGGCTTTGCAAATATCAGGAAAAATTGACATAATGGCTGGCATTCTAAACCCAAGCTGTTGAAAGTGTTGAAAGGCTGGCACTCAATGAGTTAATGAGTGTGAGTGACATCGAAGACATCCTTAAACATTATAGTTTCAGATCAGAGTCGGAGGCGGACAGTAGATATTTGACAGTAATTGTTCCAAAGCTGAACGATAGAACCTTTAATGTCAGTAAAAAGATGCAGCTTTAGGGACAGTTAATTCCATGATTATGTGATGGTTCTGAGCCTTATCTCTCTTTAATTATATAGATTTAGGCCTCATTGTGCCTCACACAAAGTCCAGCTAGGACCATGAAAGGAGATCAGGGAGCTGCCAGACAGAGCACAGGGACACGCCGCCGCGGTTGCTAGGCTGTTGCTAGGAGGCTCCTCTAACATCATCTTCATATAAAAACAAACCGGAACGTTTCATTCAAGAAGTCACAGCAGCTGAATGAACCAGAGACGACACCCACATGGTTGTGAAGGCTCTGGACCTGCTGCTGCTGCTTCCTCCTTTAAACTAAACTCATTAGTGAACGATAGTCCCGCCCCCTGACCTCTGACCTCTGCATCTCCGGAAGCACAGTCCCATTCAGCTTCACTATTCAAACATCCGAGTTGGTTTGAGGGCAAAGAAGGAGCAGTGACAGAATCTCACTCACTCAGGTTCACTTTGATTCTTATCCACATGAGGTTTAAAACACTCATAAACACATGTTAGTCTGATTCTCTGATCTGCTGTTGGTGGATCCACAACACAAACACACTGAACACAGATGTAGATGATTGTGTGAAGTGGACCTGGGTCTGGGTGAAGATCTGAGCTTTCTGACACTCCTCGAGACTCGGGGCGAAGCTGGACATGACGTGCTCCTCCGTCCCAATCATCTGCACGATCTCCTGGTCACTCTCCACTCCCATGCCCTGGGACGCAACCACAGCATTAACACCCGGAGAGGGAGAGAGGGGAGAGAGGAGAGAGAGGAGAGAGGGGAAAGAGGGGAGAGAGGAGAGAGGGGAGAGAGAGGAGAGAGGGGAGAGAGAGGAGAGAGAGGAGAGAGAGGAGAGAGAGGAGAGAGGGGAGAGAGGAGAGAGGGGAGAGAGAGGAGAGAGGGGAGAGAGAGGAGAGAGAGGAGAGAGAGGAGAGAGAGAGGAGAGAGGAGAGAGAGGAGAGAGAGGGGAGAGAGAGGAGAGAGAGGAGACAGCAGGAGTCAGAGCAGAGGGACAATGGAATGAGGTGAAGTAAATAACACCAGCTGCTACAGTGACATTTTAACAATTGTATAAATGACGAAGCTCAGAAGAAGTTTGGACAAAGGATTATTCGGCTCCAACCCCTCACTCATTAAACTTATACACACACACACACAAACACACACACTCTGGGGGACACTGCCCTCTGGGGGCCACTGCCCTCTGGGGGACACACAGTGGAAGTGCACCTTGAAGATGATGGCGATGGGAGCGTCCTCTGAGAGAGTGTTGTGT